TGCCAGTCCGAAGCCAGGAGCCAGGAACTTCTTCTGAGTTTCCCACACGGGTGCAGGGTCCCAAAGCCTTGGGCTGTCGCGACTGCTTTCCCAGACCACAAGCAGGGAGCTGGATGGGAAGTGGAGCTGCCAGGATTAGAACCGGCGCCCATATGGGATCCCACATGGGCGTTCAAGGCGAGGACCATAGCCGCTAGACCATGCCGCCGGGCCCTGTGTCTAATTTTTTTCTGAGCTTCCGTTACCTGTCTAGTAGTTGACTGACACTGTGCTATAGATCACAGGTGATTTCACCTTACTTTTTTTTTCCTTAAAGATTTATTTTATTATGATTTTTTTGAAGGTCAGATATAGAGAGAGGACAAGAGACAGACAGGAAGAAGATCTTTCATCAGCTGGTTCACTTCCCAAGCTGTCACAATGGCCAGACCTGAGCTGATCCAATGCCAGGAGCCCAGAGCCTCTTCCAGGTTTACTGGGCAGGTGCAGAGTCCCAAGGGTTTGGGCCATCCTCCACTGCTTTCCCAGGCCACAGATAGCCAGATGGGAAGCAGAGCCACTGTAATACAAACTGGCACCTATATGGGATCCTGGCTTGTGTAAGGACAAGGACCTTTGCCGCTAGGCTACTATGCCAGGCTCCATCTTGCTTTTTTTTTTTTTTTTTAAGATTTATTTATTTTTATTGCAATGTCAGATATACCGAGAGGAGAGACAGAAAGGAAAATCTTCTGTCCAATGATTCACTCCACAAGCAGCTGCAATGGCAGGAACTGAGCCAATCTGAAGCAAGGAACCCAGAGTCTTTTCCGGGTCTCTCTCACGGGGGGAGGGTCCCAAGGCTTTGGGCTGTCTTCAACTGCCTTTCCACAAGCAGGGAGCTGGATGGGAGGTTGGGCTGCTGGGAGTAGAACCAGTGCCTATATAGGATTCCAGCGCGTTCAAGGTGAGGACTTAGTTGCTATGCTATAGCACCAGGCCTGCCTTTTTTTTTTTTTTCCAAAGATACTATTTATTTAGTTATCTTTTATCTGATGCCTTACAATGCTAACATTTTTAAATTTCATTTTTATTTGTTTGAAAGGGACAGTTACAACGAGAGGGGGAGATGTAGAGAAATCATCATTCACTGATTCACTTCCCAAATGCAATGGCTAGGGCTGGGCCAGACTGAAGCCTGAAGCCAGCAGCGAAATTGGGGTCTTCTACATGGATGCAGCGGCCCAAGGACTTGGATCATGTTCTCCTGGTTTCCCAGGGTGTGCAATAACAAGGAGCTGGATGGGAAGTGAAGCAATCCACTGGGAAATGCTGGCATTCCACGTGGCGGCTTTTCCTACTACACCACAGTGCCCACCTCGATGCTAACTGCTTAAACTCACCTACTGAATTCTGTGTGTCTAACATCGTATTTTGCATTTCTAGCATTTCATTATGATTGTCAAATTGCCATTTTCGGTTAACATTCTGTATTTCTTCACCCATGTTGCCCATGTTTTTCACTAGATTTTTTTATTTTTAAGATTTTTCCGGCTTGGCCGCATGGCCTAGCGGCTAAAGCCCTCGCCTTGAGCACGCCAGGATCCCATATGGGCGCCGGTTCTAATCCTGGCAGCTCCACTTCCCATCCAGTTCCCTGCCTGTGGCCTGGGAAACCAGTCGAGGATGGCCCAAGGCTTTGGGACCCTGCACCCGCATGGGAGACCCGGAAGAGGCTCCTGGCTTCGGATTGGCATAGCTTCGGCCATTGTGCTCACTTGGGGAGTGAATCATCGGACGGAAGATCTTCCTCTCTGTCTCTCCTCCTCCTCTCTGTATATCTGACTTTCCAATAAAATAAGTAAACCTTCTAAAAAAATTTTTTCTATTTTTATTGGAAAAGCAGATACACAGAAAGATTTACCCTCCGCTGGTTCACTCCCGGAGTGGCTACAACAGCTGGAGCTGAGCCAATCCAAAGCTAAGAGCCAGGAGCTTCATCCAGCTCTCCCATATGCGTGCAGGGTCCCAAGGCTTTGGGCCATCCTCGACTGCTTTTCCAGGCCAATAGCAGGTAGCGGAGCAGCTGGGATTAGAATTGGCACCCATATGAGATCCCGGCGCATGCAAGGTGAGGACTTCAGCCACTAGGTTTTTATGCCAAGCCTTTTGTTAGATATTTTATCAGAATTATCTCCACAACCCTGTCTGTTGATTGCTATATTTTGATCTCTGCTACAGTTTTTTTTTTTTTAAACACTTTAATCCAGTTGAAATGAAAGACTAGCAGAGAGGGAAGGATCGGTCTTCTTCCAATTGGTTCGTTCCCCAAATAACCTAAATGCTACACTGGGCCAGGCTGAAGCCAGGCACTCCATACAGGCTTCCCTGGTGGGTGGTATTTGGACCATCTGCTGTGACTTTGTTCGATATATTAATATTGAGCAGACCAGCTGGCATAGGATACCTGGTGTGCCAGTATAAGATACTGGCATCGCAGGCTCTTCTGGCTTAAACGGCTGCACCAAGATGCTGACCCTCCCCGGAATTATTTTAAAGATCTCTCAGCCTTCTTTTTTTTTTTTTTTTATGATTTAGCAATTGATTTACAGAGAGAAGTAGAGACAGAGATTTTGTACTCATTGGTATACTCCACAAACGGCCACAATGGGTAAAGCTGAGCCCATATGAAGCTGAGAGCCAGGAGCCTCTTTTGGCTCCTCCATGTGGGTACAGGGTCCCAAGGACTTGGGCCATTCTCCTCTGCTTTTTCAGGCTTCAAGCAGCGTGCTGGATCAGAAGTGGAGCAGGCAGGACACCAACTGGCACCCAGATGGGATGAACCCAATGCCTTTAGTTCCATTTCTGCTGAACTCTGTATTATTGTGGAGCTCATTTTCTCATTTTTGAACACATGTCACTTATGTGATGCTATATGGATCTTTTATATTCAAAAAGAAGCCAACATTGTGACACAGAATTAATTGCCACAATGATGCTAGAATCCCATATGGGCACCAGCCTGAATCCTGACTGCTGCACTTCAGATCCAGCTACCTATTAATGTGCCCAGGAAACAGTAATAAAGGGCCCAAGTACTCCTACTGCCCACATGGTGACCTGGATGAAGGTCCTGGCTCTTGGCTTCTGGCTCCCGCCTGACACATCCCCAAATGTTATACCCTTTTCAAGGGGAGGGTGACAACTAGTGGACTAGTGGATGAAAGATCTTTCTCTAACTCTGCCTTAGAAATAAATGAATCTTGGGCCCAGTGTGGTAGTGGCTAAAGTCCTTGTCTTGCATGCATCAGGATTTCATATGGATGCTGGTTCTAATCGCAGCGGCTCTACTTCCCATCCAACTCCCTGCTTGTGGCCTAGGAAAGCAGCCGAGGACTGCCTAAAAGGCCTTGGCACCCTGCAGCCATGTGCGAGAGATGGAAGAAGCTCCTGGCTCCTGGCTTTGGATTGGCCACTTGGAGTGAATCAGTGGATGGAAGATCTTCCTGTCTGGTTCTCCTCCTTTCTGTAAATGTGACTTTCCAATATAAATAACACAAAACATTTTTTTAAATAAAAGTACTAGATAATCAAAGAAGAAAAGATTAAAAAAAACCAAATAAATGATTCTTGGATTGATGTAAAATTTTTGCTTTCAGGCTGCCTGACTTAATTTGGGCTTGGCCTTATTGTATTTGTGCTTTGATTTGGTCTCCATTACTCTCAGATGTTATTCATATAGAACCAGCATTTTCACTTCAGCAGGGCCTTCCATCTGAACATTCACAAGATTCCCCAGATACAAGATTCTCCCTGTGTTTTCTAGCCAAGGCAATGGGAGCAGATGGAGGGGAGAGTTGGGGGTTATCTCTTCTTGCCTGGCAGCCTGGGAGGTTCCTGACTACTGGCTTTGGGAGTGGGGCTGGGCAGGAGGGTTTTCTTTCAGTCCCTACCTACCCTTTGTCAGGCCCCCTCCCAGCCTTTCACAGCTGCTGTAAGTTTCTCTCTGGCCTATCTCCTCCTTTCCAGGCATTTGCAAGACCTGCCATCACTCTTGCAGGTGGGCTTCTGCTGTGGCTGTTCCACTTCCCCATTTTTCAGTCCCCAGATGTAGAGGAGGGGCATGGGTGTAACTCCACTGTATGGCTTTGCACTCCCCAGTTCTCAGCCATCCCAGCCTCTTGCCATTGTCCAAGAAGTTTACCATATGGCTCCCCATCCCCTCACTCCTGCTTCTTCTTCTTGGCAAGATTCTACTAGGAAATGAGCAGTTAGAGGAGGGGCATCTCTGGTCTGTGACAAATTTGACATTTCCTGGAGCTTGGTTCACTTTAGATTTTTGCTTGTACTCTCCTCTTTCTTGTGATTAACACATATTTTTGATTTTCCAGGTTAATGTGGCCTTTAATTGGTTGGTTGCTAGGGTAGAAGCTATGTTCTCCTGTTCTTTTCTGTATACACGCCAGTAGAGTACCAGAAATAATAAATAAAAAGGAAAAAAAAGAGGCTTTCCTTCCATAGTTCACTGGTTTTGTTTTTTTACTTGACAATCATGGATAATGGTTTGATTTTGGACAGTCATTTTGGCATAGCAGGTTAAACCACCACTTGTGAAGAGGAAATTCCACGTGGATGTCCATTTCAGTTTTGGCTGCTTTCACTTACCATCCAGCTCCTGGATGCGCCTGGGGAAGCAGAAGATGGTCCAAGTTCCCGGGCTCCTGCACTCAGGTGGAAGACCTGGACGAAGCTCTTGGCCTCTGACTATGGCCTGGCTCAGCTGCAGCCACTGTGGTCACTGAGAGAATGAGGCAGTGAGTGCACGATGCTCTCAGGAAGGTTCCGTGTCCTCAGCGGCAGGGATCCGTTTGCCAGCGGCCAGGGCCACCCCACTGCCTCCCGGGCTAACGGATGACTGGGCATCCTCGTGCATTTGGCGGCGTCCGGCCCGGTCCTGTCCTCTTAGACAACAACTTCCGCCGCTCCCGTCGCTATGACAACGCCCGACTTCCGGCCGCGGCGGCCTGGGGCGGAGTCAAGATGGCTGAGGAGAAGCTCGCGCCGGTGAGCGACGGGTTCTCGGTGGTGCTGCCCGGGTGGCGGGCGGCCTGGTGAGGCGGCGAGCCGAGCGCCGGGCGTGGGAGCGACGGGCGCGGCGGGCGCGGGCCGCGTGGCGTGCAGCGGAGCGTCGGCGGGCTGCGCGAGTGTGCTGGGCCGCCGAGCTGGCCTGGAGGGCCCGGGGACGCCGGGAGCGGGCTCCGTGCTTCAGGGGGCTGGTCACAGTGGCAGGCGTGTTCCCCACAGGGCGCCGTTACTCCCGTGGGTGCTGAGAGGCGTGTTCCCCACGGGGCGTGTTCCCCACAGGGCGTGTTACCCACGGGACGTGTTACCCTGCAGGACTGGGTACCCCACAGGATGTGTTACCCCACAGGACGTGTTCCCCCACAGAATGTGTTACCCCACAGGACGTGTTCCCCCACAGAATGTGTTACCCCACAGGACGTGTTCCCCACAGGACTGGGTACCCCACAGGATGTGTTACCCCACAGGGTGTGTTACCCACGGGGCATGTTACCCCGCAGGACTGGGAACCCCATAGGATGTGTTACCCCACAGGGCATGTTACCCCACGGGGTGTGTTACCCCACTTGGCGTGTTACCCTACAGGGCGTGTTCCCCACGGGACAGGATACCCCACAGGATGTGTTACCCCACAGGATATGTTACCCACGGGGTGTGTTACCCCGCAGGACTGGGAACCCCACAGGATGTGTTACCCCACAGGGCATGTTACCACACGGGGTGTGTTATCCCCCAGGACGTGTTCCCCACGGGACGTGTTACCCCGCAGGACTGGGTACCCCACAGGATGTGTTACCCCACAGAAGGTGTTACCCCCTCAGGCGCTGAGCCTGTCTGGCTCCCTCGGGTTTCTTCTTTGGGATCCTTCTATTTCCTTTTTTACTCCTGCTTGGTTGAAGGAGTACTAAATGTTTTGTGGTAATTCCTGTCCACTTCTGGTCACCTGAATTTTCACTTCTCTCTCTCTCTCTGGAATCAGTTTTTCTAATCTCCACGTTGGAACGGAGCCTGCTATTTTTGTGCCTTCGCTGATTAACTGTAATAATCTCCTGCAGTAGCTGCAAGTGACAGGATTGTGTGTGTGTGTGGCTGAGTGTTGGCACGATCGCGTGTCGTCGGGTGTCTCGGTTTATCTCAGGGTATGCCAGCTGTTAGGAGTGGTCCTTTCCTCGGGCAGATCCCGCGGGACAGTTCTGTGTTTGGTTTTTGGACAGCAGTAGTGATCCTTTGAGGCATATATCTACCAATTTGACAGTGTCTCCAACATAAAGCTTTGCCAACGCACCTTTTTTCTTCTAATTTTTTTTTACTTTTTTTGAGATTCAGGCCCATTCGGCACTGCTATTAGAAATATTTTGATTGTTTGGGGGTGGGTATGGAATTTGTTGTCTTAAAAATATGCTGGAAAATGACCAGAAAAATAAGAGCTTTTGGCTGTTTTGTAAGTTGGTTTTAGCTCTAAAGGAATCCTGGCTTCTAGGGTTTGTACTGAAGATAGTTTGTTGTTAATATACTTAACAATAATGTGAAGTAAATGTCTATTAAGGGTTAACTTGGAGCAGAAAATAGAAGTTACTGTTGTACATTAGCAGGTCTGACTCAGATGTAATGACTGGCGCTTACCCAGTGCTCTGTGAGCTTAAATTTCTGTATTCAGAAATCTTTTCATGTGCTTGAATTTCATTTGTTTCTCCTTGAGGAAGTGTCTACAAATTCTTTGTCCACTTTTAAATGAGATGCTTCTTTCTTTACTAAGTTTTGTGTATTTGTGAAAGTCATAAAATAGCTTTGTTTGGTGTATTTTTTTTTTTTAAATTTCGAGGGTGAATTTTTCATTGCTGTAAGCTACATCTTACCTCCAAAAGAATGAATAAAATGGTGTGTGTGTGTGCTAGAGAATAATATGGAAGGAAGCTCAACTTCCCAGCACAGAGGTTGAAGCGTGGGTCATTTCCAGTAACTTGGAAACTCCCAAATGCTGCTTTTGCACGGCCTTTTATCTCTTTTCTCAGAAAAAAATGTTTTTGTTTTTTGTGAAAGAGAATTAAAAAAAAAGATTTATTTATTTGAAAGAGATTTTACAGAGAGAGAGGAGAGAGAAGTCTTCCAGATATCTGTTTGCTGGTTTATTCCCCAAGTGGTCGCAGAGGCCAGAACAGGGCTAATCTAAACCCAGGAGCAAGGAGCTTTCTTTCAGTCTCCCACACAGGTGCAAATGCCCAAAGACTTGGGCCTTTCTTTGCTGCTTTCCCAGGTCATGAGTAGAGAGCTGGGCTGGAAGTGGAGCAGTCGGGACTTGAATCGGCGCCTGTATAGGACACAGGCACCAACAGGTAGAGGATTGACATGCTGAGCCAACCCACCAGCCTTGAGAGATTCTGTTTTATCCAATGATTTACTTTCCAGAATGCCTACAACACCTGGGGCTCAGCCTGGCCAAAGTCAGGAACTTGTAGCTCATTCCACAGTCTTCTATTTGGATGCTAGGAATCCAAGAGCTTAGCATGCTGGAATGGGGCGCCTCTCATTCTATGTTCTGAACATAGCTCCTTTGTGACAGCAGAGGAGTGAGGTTCCTTCACGCTCCAAGCGAATTGTCCGGATTTGTACGAAACCCGTTGGTTTGGAGACTGCATCAGGGGCCTCAGTTGAGGATTAGCCAGCACCAGGTTGATGGAGCTGTGCTTCCGACTGACCCACAGCAACCTCCTGGGGCTGCCGGACTTGACTTGAGTGGCTTTCAGAATTCAGGGTGGATGAGGAGACACTTAGTGTAGGGTGTGTGTGCCAGGACTAGTGTGCCATTCCTGTGCGCCACTGTCCTCCGGCGCCACACCTTGTCCTTCTAGGGGATTGTGGCAGATGGAGAGGGGGGGAAAACCAGCAAGGGGGCGTGCTCAGATTCTTGCTCTCCACGGCATTGAGCCCTCCCAGGTTTGGGACAGAGTCCCTTCCTAGAAGGGGTTTTAGAATCTATTGTCAGGCAAGGTAAGTCTGAAAAAAATTGTTTTAGAGATTTATTTCTTTTTGTTGGAAAGATAGATTTAAAGAGAGGAGAGATGAAGATCTTCCATCTGCTGGTTCACTCCCCAAAAGTTGAGTAATCCTTCCCTGCCTTATGCTTTTCTAAAATTATATATATATTTTCTTGTTCTGCTTTAGTCTTTATTTTTATTTAGCTTATTCTCCTTGATAAAGCTTTCCCTTTTACAGTCCATTTTATCTAATATTATTATTAGCAGTACTTTGGTTATTGTTTTTTCCTTGTTTTTCTACAATGTCATTTCCTATCTTTTACTTTTTACTTGCCTTTATATTTTATTTATTTATTTATTTTTTTTACTTTCTATTTCAGATGTCTTTATAAAAATATCATACATCTAGATTTTTAAAAAAAGATTTTATTTTTATTGCAAAGTCAGATATACAGAGAAGAGGAGAGAAAGAGAGGAAGATCTTCCATCTGATGATTCACTCCCCAGGTGACTGCACCCGCAGGAGTTGATCCAAAGCCAGGAACCAGGAGCTTCCTCTGGGTTTCCCACACGGGTGCCAGGGTCCCAAGGCTTTGGGCTGTCCTCCATCACTTTCCCGGGCCACAAGCAGGGAGCTGGATGGGAAGCTGGGCTGCCAGGACATGAACGTGTGCCTATAGGGATTCCAGGGTGCGTAAGGTGAGGACTTCAGGCATTAGGCTATCATGCTGGGCCCTCTTTCCTTTTGTTACAGTTGAAAATACATTGAAAATGAAGAGCTTATTTATTTGAAAGGCAAAATTACAGAGAGAGAGAGACAGACAGGAAAATAAAATTTCACTCACTAGTTCAATTTCAAGATGATCACCACAATAACCAGGCTGAATTTAGGTTCCTAGAACTTCATCCAGGTCTCCCTTATGGGTGGCAAGGGTGCAGGTACTTAGACCATCTTCTGCTGCTTTCTTTGCTGCATTAGTAGCAGGGAACTGGATTATAAGTAGAGCAACTGGACTCCAGCTAGCCCTCCTATGAGATGGATGCTCGTGTCTTAGGTGGAAGCTTAATGTACTGTGTCATAATGCTGGCTCCTAAATGATGTTTTAAATCCAGAGTTAAATCTGACCCTTAGTGGGCCTGACATGATGGCTCAGTGGATGAATCCTCCCCTTGCAGGCGTTGGGATCCCTTTTGGGTGTCCGTTCATGTCCCAGTTGTTGCACTTCCATCCAGCTCGCTGCTTTTGACCTGAGAAAGCAGTAGATGACCCAAAGCCTTGGGACCCTGCACCCTCGTGGGAGACCTGGAAGAGGCTCCAGGCTCCTGGCTTCAGAGTAGCCCAGTTCTGCTCATTGCAGCCATTTGGGGAGTGGATAGAGGATATTTTTCTGTCTTTCCTTCTCTCTCTGTAACTCCAACTTTCCAAGTAAAGTAAAGGACCACGAGCTGCAAATTTTGAAGTAGCATTAAATATTTTGAGCTGTCAAAATTTTCAGCCACTCTGTTGGAACACAAATGCCAGCTTAATCTATAAACCTATGAGTGTATAGAAATCGAAATTTGACTCTTCTATAATTTATGCTGAAAATGCTAATTTCTAATTTTTTCCCCAACAAGTTAAAAATGTCTAAACCATTGTTCACTTGTGGACTGCTTAAAAGTAGCCTGGGTTTGACCTATTGGCTGCTGTCTCTCACCTCTGGTCTAGATTAACTTTCAATTTATTTAGTCTGACAGTTCAAGTGTTAGGTCTGTTTTTGCAAATTTATTTATTTGAGAGACAGAGATAGAGATCTCCTGTTTGCTAGTTCATCCCCATGCCTGCAGCACGTGGAGCTTGGCCAGGAGCCAGGACGTCACCCTGCTGTCCTGTGTGGTGGCAGGAACGCAGTGGTTTGAACATCGACTGAGGTCAAACCCAGATACCCCGAAAGGGAGGCCAGTATGCCCAGGACTTTCCACTGTGCCTGACACCTCTGCCTTTTGATTTTTATGCTTTATTTTCCTCTACTTGAAAGACAAAGTAAGATCAGGATCTTTCGTCTCTGGGTTCACTTCCCTAATGGCTTGGGGTTGGCAGGTGGAACCCAGGAGCCTGGGTTCAGGTCTCCCACACACTTGGCAGGGATGCAGGCTCATGTGTTCCTTCCCAGGCTGCACGTTAGCAGGAGTTTGGATCAAAAGCAGAGTGGCAGGACTCTAACTGGTGCACCAGGGTGGGACGCAAGTGGCTTAAACTACTGTGTCCTTTCTCTGTAGACAATTGGATGATATGTTTTTACTTTTGTCTCCTTGTAAGAATTCACTGTCTTTTGTGCAGTTCCTGGTGACATAACTGTGGATTTATTTTCTTTTAACCCTGTTGGGATTTGTGGCTTTTCAGAATCTAAAAGTAAATGTCTCAGTATTTCTGAAAGATTTTCAACCATTATTTTTTCATATGTTGGCAAATAACATAGGAAGTTGATAAATTTGAAGCATTTTCCATCCTCAAATTGAATCTAGAGAACCTCTCTGTAGGTACTCCTTTTTAAAAAGATTTATTTTTAAAAATATTTATTTGTTTTTATTGAAAAGTCAGATATACAGAGCAGAGGAGAAATAGAGAGGAAAATCTGTCCGATGAGTCATTCCCCAAGTGGCTGCAATGGCTGGAGCTGAGCCGATCCAAAGCCAGGAGCCAGGAACCTCCTCCAGGTCTCCCACACGGGTGCAGGATCCCAAAGCATTGGGCCATCCTTGACTGCTTTCCCAGGCCACAAGCAGGGAGCTGGATGGGAAATGGAGCTGCCAGGATTAGAACTGGTGTTTATATGGGATCCTGGCATGCAAGGCAAGGACTTTAACCACTAGGCTATCATGCTAGGCCTGAGATTTTATTTAGTTTTATTGGAAAGTTAGATATACAGAGTGGAGGAGAGATAGAGAGGAAGATCTTCCGTCAGCTGGTTCACTCCCTGAACTGTTGCAATGGCTGGAGCTGTGTTGATCTGAAGCCAGGAGCCTCTGCTGATTCTCCCACATGGATGCAGGGTCCCAAAGCTTTGGGTCATCCTCCATTGCTTGCCCAGGCCACAAGCAGGGAGCTGGATGGGAAATAGAGCAGCTGGCATATGAACTGGTGACCATATGGGATCCCACCACATGCTGAGCGAGGATTTTAGCCACTAGGATACCATGATAATCCTATGCCCTGTAGATAATCCTATAAGGTATTTTTAAAAATCAAATTTGATTTTTTTGATTTGGCTTCTGAGAAGTATAACCTTAGATATAATATTAATATGAAGCATCTGAGATCTCAGTACTTTTGTGAGTATATTTTATTATACAGTAATTATAAGTATATTGCATGTTATTTTGTCTTTTTAAATTTTATTTAGTTTTTGAGGATGCTTAGTTGAGAAGCATGCATCCCCATGTGGGATCCCCACATGGTGTCCCCATCATCTCCCCCACTGATTAGGATGGAAAGGGTCAAGGAATAGAGGAAAGTGGATGATATCACTGTTTCCCTTTTTTAAAATTTTTTCTTCCTGCATCTGTGGAGAGTGGGGAGAGAAGGGGAGATGGCTGCTCCCAGCAGTGTAACTGCATCCGTACCCAAGGAAGTGGGATGGCCTCTTGAAGTCATCCCAGGGTCCATGATGGGGAGAATGTTGTGAGGTTACTGCTTAAGTGATTTCAGTAGTTCTGGTATGCTGTTAATTTCACTGATTGAAGGTTGAGGTAATCTCTCCAAGGTCCATTGACGGACATACTCCACCCTGGAGTCTCCACTAGCCCAGATACTTGCTGTCGAAGCTTCACTGCGAGTTGTCCAATTTGTTCTGCCCACCATCCTCTGCCATGGTACTAGACTACCTCTGCAGGCCTCAATGAGCTGTCATGTCCACAGTGAGCGTCTGGGCATGCCGTCTACCGCACAGGCCACTGCAGCTATGGAGGTCTGGTGCTGACACAGAAATTCTACAATCAAACCACAGATCCTATGACTTTCCCTCCCTGCTGTGGTTGGAGTTTTGATTCCAGAGGTACTGTTGTGGGTCGGGGGAAGTTCCTGAAGAAACCTCCCCACAGGTGACCCCAGACATGACTCCTGTGTGTGCTAGCCAGTGGGGAGTCTGGTTCAGTCCATCACCCACATCAGTATATACGCACACTGGTGGTTGCAGTTGCTGAATCAGTTCTGTCCCCAGCCCCATCTCATGCAAATCAGTGGTTGCTTTGGCCCAGCCTAACCCTGATCATCATACACTTGGCCTTCAGGCACACGAGTAGGAAGTACAGCCTAATCGGAGCAACTTGCAATAACCCCACCAGTCCTGCCCTCAGCCCCGGTGCCTGTGCATGTCTGTATGTGCAGCAGACTAGTCTAGGCTGTCCCACAATTTCCCTGCTAGGTCCATTCCCAGTCTTGGATCTGGCATTTTCCAGGTGGTTCTATGGTCTCGCCTGGCAGAACTTGCCTCCAGTCTCTGCTAGCTGATAATGCAGCAAAGCCTGATGAGCCTGGACTTAGTCTGGATCTTGCATATAGTGGATGTAGTCGCTTAGTTCAGTGGATATAGTCGCTTAGTTCAGCCTGGCTGTCCCCCTAACCCAGCTCATATGTAGTCCAGCAGGCTTTGTAGCCCTGCCCAGCTTGGTCTGCCCCTGATCCCAGTTCTCAGGCTCACCAGCGGGAGCAGTGGCTCAACAGGGGAGTCCCTGCAGCTCCCCTACTGGGCTTACCCCCCATTCCAGGTCTTACATGTGCTGGTGGGAGCTGTGGCCCAGACTGGCATGGCTTACCTCACCTTGGCATTTACCAGTGAGTGCTGCCGCTTGGTTTAGCCTGACTTACTCCCAGTTCCAGTCCCTGTGTGTGCTAGTGAAAGTTGTGGCCCAGCTCACTCCACACCTAATTCTTGGGTGTGTCTATGGGTGCTACAACCTGAAACAGCCTGGCTTGTTCCCAGCCCCAGTACCCAGGAATATTGATGAGTTCCATGGTCATGCCTAGCTCAGCCCATTCCCACCCCCAACCCTCAAGAAAAACAGCTGGTGTGGCAGTCCCACAGGGATGAGTCAAGGATTCCCTGAGGAATCTGCTCCTGGCCCCAGTTCTCTCTCATGCTGGTTAGTTTCATGGTCCAGGATGACTTGGTTCACACCATTTCCCTACACTGGTGGGTACTGTGTAGTTGTGCCCTGCCAGGCAGGCTCCCCAGTTGTGGAAGTGTGTGCCAGTAGTTGGTGGTTGATACCAACAACCCCATCTCAGGTCTCCTACATAATGACCTGTATTGCTTTGGCCCCCAAAGGTCCTGCAGCATCCCTCATCTAAACCACCCATCTCAGCCTCTTTGTTAACCTGCAAGTATAGTAGCGTTGTTGGTAGAGTCCCCCAGAATTCATTTCTCACCTGTGATGCTCTCCCTTTCAGTCTTTCTTCCCACATATCCCCAGAATCCCTTTCCTGAACAGTTCATAGCCACCTATGCCAGGGAGCATGAGTATTCCCAAGCCTGGTCCTCCAGCCGTGTGCCATGGCAGCCTGGGACCCTGCCTGCCTAAGAAGGGTCCACGTATACTCATATGTGGGTCCCCAGATCCTGTCTGCTGGTGTGATGGCATCTGCCCCCTACATATCTTAAAAAAAAAAATAGAATAGGCAGCCATGTTGGTACACTGGTATAGTTAACGCAAATTTACATTAACCAGGCCTAGGATGCCTGCCAGCTATTAGCGGCTTTACTCCCAGCAGTGTAACATTTGCCTAGGTATGGTGCAACCTGGGCAATTGCCTACAGCTGGGGCTAAAATAAATGGTTAAAAATAGAATGATAGTGCATTTAGTGGGTTAATTTCATGATTGGTGATTGATTGCTGTTGTTACTTGAGTGATTTTCTAAGTCGGCAAAGTATATGGTGATGCTTTAATGTAGCTCTTGTTTTCATTTCAGAGAACTCAGTTTCCTGCGTCTGTTGAATCCCAGAAACCTCGGCATAAAAAAGGTCAGCATGTAATTTCTTCTTTTTTTAAAGATTTATTTTATTTTTATTGGAAAGGCAGATATACAGAGAGGAGAGACAGAGAGGAAGATTCTGATCTCGCCTCCATCCGATGATTCACTCCCCAAGTGAGCGCAATGGCCGATGCTATGCCGATCCGAAGCTCCTGGTCTCCCACGCGGGGGCAGGGTCCCAAAGCCCTGGGCCATCCTTGACTGCTTTCCCGGGCCACAGGCAGGGAGCTGGATGGGAAACAGGGCTGCCGGGATTAGAACCGGCGCCCATATGGGATCCCGGGCATGCAAGGTGAGGACCTTAACCACTGTGCCATTGCGCCGGGCCCCAGCATGTAATTTCATCAGATGTGCATATTTTCATATATTTTTCTGTCTCATTGATTCTTTATTCTGCACACAGTAGAACTTTTAAAAATGGGAAGCATTGGGAAAGGCACTAGAGGACTACCACCACATTTAATTTCTATTTTTTTGGAGTATTCAGGTATTAGGATGTTGATTTGAACTATAAGTGTGCATAAATGGAGATTGATTGCTACATAAGTATGTGTTCTTCTTCTTTTTTTTTTTTTTTGCACATACTGGCAGGGCTGCAGTAGCACACCAATGTGTTCATTTTCTATTTTGAGATAAACCAGTCTGAAGTTCCGTAGTACGTGTCAGGCATTGAATAATCTCATGTGTGCAAGTGAAATAAGTGCTTGTGGTCATAATGAGTCTAGATTGTAAGGATCTGCTTTTTGTGATCTCATGGAAATGTGGTATATATTTTATTTAGAGGAATTTTTTTTTAAAGATTTATTTATTTTCACTTGAAAGGCAGAGTTACAGAGAAAGGAGAGAGATACTCCATTATTTGATTTATTTCCCAAATGGCTGCAGTGACTGGAACGAGGCTGGTTCAAAGCCATTTCTGTGAAGTGGGTGCAGGGAAGCTCAAGGACTTGGGCCGTCCTCACTGCTTTCCCAGGCCACAAGCAGGGAGATAGATGGGAAGTGGAGCAACCGGGATCCGAACTGGTGCCCATATGGGATCCCCAGTGCATGCAATGCGAGGATTTGGCCTCTAGGCTATTGAGCCAGCCTGCGCACCCCCCCACCCGCTGTTTCTTTTTTTTTAAAGACTTATTTAGGTATAACAGCAGTTTAATAATGAAATTAGAAGGCAGCTTCTAGTGAATATCTTTGAATCAGTACTGTTCACCCCTGTATCTGTTCTCTGTTAGTTACATTCCTACATGGTGACAATGTTCCATTGCTGCTGGACTGTTTACCCCCACGCCTAACTTCACCTCCTCTTATGGTCTTGCTGTTGTGAGGCCCTGGCTCTCGACAGCCCCTCTTCCTCCCCAGGAAGAACCCTCCCCTTCTGGCTGGGTTAGCAGGTGGGAGGAAGGAGGAGCCAGCCTGGCCCGCTCTGGGCCTCTACTCAGCAGCAGCTGCCTGCTGGTGGCCGCAGCCCCGGCTGCTGGTAGCAATGCCCTTCCTTCCTGTGTCCCTGCGTGATGTCAGTGCCCGGAGTCATCTCTGAGCTGTTCCTGCAGGTTCTCGCCTCTTCCATTCCCCCGTCACAGTCCCTTTTGTTAAATCCTGCAGTGGTCTCACCCTGTTTCCTTGTTGGAGTCTAACAGTGACCCAGTTCAGGTGTTAGTGATTAGACTGTTCTAGGTTTACATTCCACATTTGTCACATTTTCTGATGGCCCAGATGCTATTTTGAAGTAAAAGTTTTACAATTCCTCTTTGGCACGAGAAAATGAACGATTATTGAATGACCATATTTATTTTTCATATTTTCCAATGAAAATTAGAGGGACTAGAGGAGGACTAGTAAAGTTAAACCATTTGTCCGAGTTCCACAGAAGGCTGGGGCCCGAGTTGAGCTCTTAGTGCTGACCTGGGAGAGCTGGAAGAGGTCCTTTACCAGGCAAGGGCTTGTCTGCAGCATTCTTAAAAAGGCCTTGGGTGACTAAGGCAAATATGTGCTTAAGGATCCCAACTACAGCTATTTTCTTTAGCTCTTCTGTAGCTGGGATGCAGCTGAAACATTAATCAGAGTTAGTAATATTGGGTCTGCATATACCCTGCTTAGGACAACTTAGCACCTGGATAAATAATAGAAGAGCCCTTGAGGTGACCTGTGTATTCAGGCAAGGAATTGTCTAAAACACATCAGGTGGGAGGAGGCGTGAGGATGAGATGTCACAGAAGAGTAGAATGGGGCAAGGAGTGCTGTTGCTGGGCTGCCAGCCTTCCACCTTGGCAGGTGCCTGGGGTGGGGCTGAGGCCTGGCCTTCAGCTCAGTGGCGGGCCACCCAATCTCTGTGGTGACATAGCAGGCAAGGTGTCCTCTGTTTTCATCATAGAACGGGGGAGCTGTGCTCTGCTTTCACGTTTTTGAGAACTTTCCAGAAGGTCATCTCATAATACTTGCAAAGGAAGGCGAGAACCTGGTTTATAGTGGGGAGTTGGACTGAGCAATGATTTGGAACGTACGAAATTCAGCACACACATTTAAAGGTAAAATTATAACTGTAAATTCAGAATTTGCAGATGTAGGGATTTCCAAGTTATCCAGAATTCTCTCACTTTTGAAAATAAGTAAAATGTAACAGCAACAAAAGCCAAAACTTCTATAGGGCTTCCTGTGTACCAGGCACTATTTTTACCCATTCTTTTATGGTATTATTAAAGAAAGAGGCAGGGAGACAGAAAAATAATTCCCCACCTGGGCACTGTTTGGACTTCTGTTGTAAGTCACCTGGTCATTTTAAGTCCGAAGATGAGTATGTTGTTGCCTCCGCTTCCAACGATAATGTCCTACCCAGGGCTCGATCTGCCTTCGTTGTTTTGCTTTATTATCATCTTCTCATTCTGTGAGCACGTTCCTCCCCGCCTTTGCTGTCTGCCCCAACTCTCGTGAACTCCTCGAATTTGGAGTCGTTTTTGATTATTTCTGGGTTTTCAGTGCCTGACAGTGTTAGGCAGTTAGTAAATATTGGTTGAAAGAATGAGACTCGATTTTACGGATGAGAAAATTATACATTTTTGAAGTTGAATGAGTAAATTAGAAATTATGCATTTTTAAAATTCACTCATTTGGTACTGGCATGATTATGGGACAGTGATCTCTGAGGTCTTTGGTGAAACTCAAGTTCTTTTAGTTTCCAGTGGAAGACAGAACAAGAATGAGACAACTTATACTTCCATCCAGTATGTGCAGTAGCTGAAGCCAGGAGCCTGGTACATCATTCACAGTTGCCATGTGGGAAGCAGGAATTCAGCCACGTGGGCCCACACCTGCTGCCTCCCAGAACTGCATTGGAAGGAAGCAGGGTTGGAAGTGGAGTTGCCAGAACTGGAGCCAGACATTCCCGTAGGAAATGTGGGTGTCCCAAACTGGCTCCACCCACTGTGTCACAGCTGCTCCTTCAGCTTTTAGACACGTATCTTCAGGAGTGTGAAATGATGTGATAGCACTTGGATTTGGTAGTGGCTTCCCTCTAACTCCAAATGTCCCATCTCATGAGTCTCTGGGTTCTTGAGGACATTTTGGCATTTTTTTTTTCATTTTCAAAAAACTTGTCTTTTATTTCTTATTGAAAAAAATTTTAAGATTCATTTATTTTCATTGGAAAGGCAGACTTACAAAGAGAAGGAGAGACAGAGAGGAAAGATCTGTCCACTGGTCCACTCCCCAAGTGGCTGCAATGGCTGGAGCTGAACCAGTCTGAAGCCAGGAGCTTCTTCCATGTCCCTCAGGTAGGTGCAGGGTCCCAAGGCTTTGGGCTGTCCTTGACTGCTTTCCCAGGCCACAAGCAGGGAGCTGGATGGGAAGCGGAGCAGCCAGGATTAGAATCAGTGCCCATATGGATCCCATGTGCCCATTTGCAAGGTGAGGCCTCTAGCCACTAGACTATTGAGCTGGGCCCAAAACTTTTGTCTTTTATTGTAAGATTCTTTTTTAAATTTATTTTATTTTTATTGGAAAGTCAGATATACAGACAGGAGGAGAGACAGAAAGATCTTCCGTCCAATGATTCACTCCCCAAGTGACCTCAACGGCTGGTGCTATGCCGATTCGAAGTCAGGAGGCAGGAGCTTCCTCCAGGTCTCCCATGCGGGTGCAGGGTCCCAAGGCTTTGGGCTATCCTCAGCTGCTTTCCCAGGTCACAAGCAGGGAGTTGGATGCGAAATGGAGCTGCTGGGATTAGAACCTGCGGCCATATGGAATCCTTGCGTGTTCAAGGCGAGGACTTTAGCTACTAGGCCACGCTGCCGGGCCCTATTGTAGGATTTTAGTAAAGTTGTGGGGCAGGCACCATGGCATAATTTGTAACACTGGCATCCCATATGAGTGCTAGTTTGATTCTGGCTGCTTCACTTTCTCTTCTGATCCAACTTCCTGCTAACGTGCCTAGAAAAACAGTGGAAAATGGCCCACGTACTTGGGTCCCTGCACCCATGTGTGAGAGCTGGAGGAAACGCCCGGCATTCTGATCTGTCAGATGTGACATTATGTTTTATGTATTCTGTTTCACTAGTAACATTTGTGAAATTTTCTTTAGAAAATTGTGCCATCTGCAATGAGAGGAGAAAGAAAAAAATAAAAATTTTATTTTTTTCAATGGCTTATTTACGTGCTTATTTGAAAGGCAGAATTAGAGGAGAGAGAGAGATTTTTTATGTGCTGGTTCAACTCCCCAAACCATTGCAATGCCTAGGGTTGTGCCATGCCAAAATCAGAAACCAGGAACTTCTGGGTCTCCAGCATGGATGGTAGAGGCCCATGGTTTTGGGGCTGTCTTACACAGCTTTCCCAGGCATATTAGAAAGGAGTTGGATGAGAAGTGGAGCAGTTGGGACTTGAACTAGTGCCCGCATGGGGGCAGCTGCTTACCCTGTTGTACCACAGAGCTAGCCTGAAGAAATGTCATGTTATTTAAACCAAATTATCATTTGAGAAACTGACATTAGAAGTGGCAGAAGCTCAGGCACATACATGGGGTAAAATGGTAGGATACATATTCTCAGTTTAATGTTCTGTTTCCGGTGTGCTACACTATGTTCCTAGCAGCGTGAAGGATTTAATATATTGTAGTATGTGTGTGGTTAATTTAGATGTAAAGACAATGCTAGGAAGAAAATCCAGGAATAACTGTCGTTTGTTTTGTCAAAATCTGCTGTCCAGCTCCAGAGTTTCCTATTTTGGAGAAGCAGAACTGGTTGATTCACCTGCACTATATCCGGAAGGATTATGAAGCATGCAAGGTGAGAGCCTGCAGTGACCGGGAGAACGAGACCCCTGGGAAGGTGACTGACAGTGTCTGCTGTGGAGTGGGGCAGCTGCTGCCCAGCACATAAGACAGTTCCTGTGGTCCCACACTTTGTGGACTGGTTAGCTTCCGCTTGGATACTGCTGTTTTTAAAAACCTGAGTTTCACTGGCCCCACACGCAGACCAACTGACCTTGGTTGCTAATGGGACTTCTGATTGGCTGGGGGCGGTCAGGTGTGTTCCATGGCCTCTTTTTTTTTTTTTTAAGATTTATTTATTTATTGGAAAGTCAGATATACAGACAGGAGGAGAGACAGAGAGGAAGATCTTCCGTCCGATGATTTACTCCCCAAGTGAGCGCAACTGCCGATCCTATGCCGATCCAAAGCCAGGATCCAGGAACTTCTTCCAGGTCTCCCACACAGGTGCAGGGTCCCAAAGCTTTGGGCCGTCCTCGACTGCTTTCCCAGGCCACAGGCAGGGAGCTGGATGGGAAGTGGAGCTGCCGGGATTAGAACCGGTGGTTCCATGGCCTCTTGAATCAAGGGCAGGGCGAAAGGCCAGTTGGCTGGGGCTTCTTGGTTTCTGGGTGGAAGCAAGTGTTCTGCTCTTTCTCTTCTTTTCTTTTTTTTTTTTTTTTAATTTTTTTAAGATTTGTTTTTATTGGAAAGTCAGATATACAGAGAGGAGGAGAGACAGAGTGGATTTCCCTCTGTTGATTTACTCCCCAACTAGCTTTAATGGCTGGAGCTGCGCCGATCCAAAGCCAGGAGCCAGAAGCCTCTTTCGGGTCTCCCATGTTGGTGCAGGGTCCCAAGGTTTTGGGCTGTCCTTGACTGCTTTCCCAGGCCACAAGCAGGGAGCTGGATGGGAAGCGGGGCCATCAGGATTAGAACTGGTATCTATGTGGGGGTTTTTGGTGTATGCTGTGCCCTCTTTTTCAGCCAAGGCACATACAGGTTGATGCAGCTGTCTAGTTAGTTGTGACCCAACCCTGTATTTCACACATACTGATGGGTGCTGCAGCCTAGCCAGCCTCCCATAGACAGTCCTCACATACACATGTGGGTGCCATGGCCTAGTTGGGGCAACTTTCGGTAATCCCTACCAGGTCCTTCCCCATCCCCACTTTTTCTGTGTGCTGGCATGTGTTGTGGCCTAGCCCAGCCCAGCCTACATCCTCTTTGTCTCTTGTGTACACCCTTGTCTGAGATGGCCTGCCCCCAGTCTTGGCATTTGCCAACACTTGGTATAGCCTGGCTTAACCTGGCCCACTTCCAGTCCCAGTTCTCACTGATGGATATAGCAGCCTAACCCAGCCTGGCTCATCCTCAGCCCTCATGTGAACTGGTGGGTGTTGTGGTCCAACCAGCCTGGCCTGCATCCTGTCCTGGCTCTCACTTATGGCTGGTCGGTGCTAACTGCCAGGCACACCACCAGGCTGGTCTCACACGTAATCCAGTGGGTGCTGTGATCCAGTCTGTGCTGGCCTCCTCCGTGCCCCTACTGTCATGCTCAGCAGCAGGAACTGCAACCTTGCAGGGGAGTTCCTCAAGTTTCCCTATCATTGCCAGCAATCGATCTCACCCAACCCTCGGTGTCATGTGTGCCAGTGGATGCAGTGGCTGTGCTTGGCTTGGTCTGCCCTAGTCTTGCTTTTCCCTGTGCTGGTGGTTACTGTATCCTTGTCCAGCCCAGCTTCCTCCCAGCCCTAGCTCCTGTGAGTGTCAGATGGGTTTCTGTTAGGTGAGCTTGTGGTCCAGACTGACTTGGCTGTCACGACCCTCACTCTTTGCATCAGTGGGTGCTACAGTCCCACAGAGATTAGCCCACAATTCTCCTGCAGTGTCTGATCCCAGATCTGGTTCTCTTGCATTCTGGTAGGTGTTGCAACCCAGCCTGGTATGGCCCACCCTTTGCTCCAACACATATGGGTGGGCACTGTGGCCTAACCCAGCCAGGAATGCCCCTTCTCAGTTTTTGTGTGTGCCAGCAGGTGGTGGGTGATGCTATGTAGCCCAGCCCAGATCTCCTACTTGGGCTGGTGCCTTGGCCTGACCCAGACATTTTCCTGAAACCACTCCACCTCAGCTCCCTCCCCTTGCATGTAAGTGTAATGACCCAGTCTGTGGAATACCAAATAAATCATTTCTTCAGCTGCTCCCACTCCAATATATCCCCATACATCCTTCTCTAGGCAATCTGCAGTCCCTCTGCCTGGATGCTAGGATGGCTTGTCCTGGCTCAGCAAGCCCCTCTGTCTCTACTAATCAAAAAACAAAAACAAACAAACAAATACCCCCCCCCAATAAAAAGCAAGCAATTATGTTGGCATATTGATATAATTAACGTAAGTTTGGCATTAACCAGGTATAGAGTGCCCACCAGCCAGTGGCTGCTTTTTACCCAGCAGTGGAATGCTTGCCTAGGTACAAGGCAACCTAGGCAATTGCCTGCAGCTGGGGCCTCTGCCTACTTCTTGAAAGTTGGAGGATGTTCCATGGTTGGCCCCCTTTCTGCTCATTCTGTCCTTCCTCATCTTCAGATTAGTCTAATACCTACTGAGTGCATCATCAGCATTTCAAGCCAGATTTCTCTGTGGCTGAATTCATCTGCTCCCGCCACATTCCTCCTGCCACTCCTGTCTCAGAGATGGATCACATCATTCACCCAGCTGGCACTGTGTTATAGATAGGTATGGAGATCCTCCACTGACCATCTCTTGATTTGGCTGCTTCCCCCTCTCTGTGCTTTAATTCTCATTGTTGTAATTTAAATGACTGGGAGACTTCTGCTAACCTTACCCCTAATCTCATCTTTCAGCCGTGCCCCCGTAGTGATGTTCTGTGTACCACTGGCATGGCCTGTGAAGTCCTGTCTCTGACTTTCATGGCTGCTGTGGGTTCTGTTGAAGCCCCTGCCAGCAGTTTTGTTTGCCCTCTCAGCTGTTGTGCTATAGGCTTAGTTGGCTCAGCACAGGACAAAGGTAGAGCCTGTGTTTTCCTCAGAGCATTGCTAGCATTAGTAGTAGTGCTTGAAAATCTCTCCTTCTACACAACACACACACACACACACACACACACACACACACACACACACACACACAGTCTAGTCAGAGTTTAGGCAGGCTGGTAAACTTTCTGTGATGAGTATGCAGGAAATTGTTTAGACTTTCTTTACAGTCCATATACAGTGTTCTTTAGCTCATATATGAGTTCTATATTACACTTTAAAAATATTTTGAAAAATTCTTATCTTGAGAGCTGTATAGAACTGTTCTGTAGGGGCGAGGCATTTTGCTTAGCAGTTGGCTTGACTGTGCTGTTATCCTAACTAAGCTGGGCTAACAGATGAGATGGCTTCTTCCCATACCTAATGCATGGGTTTGTTGCCCAGCTCTCACTCCTAACTCCAGCTTCCTGCTAATGCAGACCCACAGAGGCTAAAGTAATGAATCCATTGCTTTAGAGAAAGAGAAAGAGGTGTGGCTTGTGTTCCTAGCATCCGCCTTTGAGCTTGGCCCAGCTCTGGCTACGTCATGGACATGTGGGGAGTGAGCTAGTGGATGGAGGTGTACACTCTTTAAGTTTCTCACATTTTTAAATTTTACCTTCTGAAGATTTATATGAAAGGCAGAGATAAAGAAATTGATCTTCTGTGCACTGGGTTGCTCCCCAAATGACCCCAAAGGTTGTGGCTGAGCCAAGACAAAGCCAAGCGCTTAGAACTCCTGCATTAGTATGGAGCTACATCACAAGAGAACATTGAGGACCGTGCTTGCGTATGGGATGCTGGCATTGCAGGAGGCTCCTTCTGCAAGGTTTTTAATGAGTGAAAATAATATCCTGTGAGCCCATAGTTTGCCAATCAGTATTTGAAAATAATGAGTCGTAAGCAAGAAGTTGAGATTGAATTGCTTTGGAATGATTGCTTTATATCCTAGATTTCTTACGTGTGCTCCTTGTCCATGTGTGCTTTATTTTTAAAGCAAAATTATTTATACATTTCATTTATTTGGAAGCCAAAGAGGCAGACAGAGACCTGCCATCCACTGATTAATTCCCCAAATGCCCACGACAGCTGGGTCTGGACTGGGCAGGAGCCGCCTGGGTCTCCCATGCAGGTGGGAGGGCCATCACTGGCCTCCAGAGTGAACATTTGTAAGAACTAGGATTGGAAGCACAGCCAGGACTCAAATCAAGGAGTTCTGGAAGAGGGTCTGGACGTCCTGGTAAGGCTTTTAATCCATTGGCTAAATGCCTGCTTTTTTTGTCTGCCTTTTCTTAAAAGACATTTAGCTACCACTTAGAAGTATTTTCCTTCCTCTTTTAGGCTGTTATCAAAGAGCAGCTTCAAGAGACTCACGGATTATGTGAATATGCAATCTATGTACAAGGTAAGACAAGATCTTTTTCTATCGCTGGAGAAATACAGTTCTCCTAGATTCCTGAAAAAAGAAAATATCTCATGAAATATTGAAATTCAAGTAAATGTTCCACATTGATATCATTTACTTTTTATAGGTTTTTTTTTTTTTTAATTGTTACATTTTTAAAAAAGTAAATGGTATGTTTAAACAAGTTCATTTATTTGAAAGGCCTAGAGGAAGAGCTGCCGTGTGCTGGTTCATTCCCCAGCTGCCTGCAGCAGCCAGGGCTGGGGTCACCTGAAGCTGGGATCTGGGAAGTCAGTAGGTCTGTCATGTGGATGGCCGATTCAATTACTGGGCCGGACCACTTTTTCCCATGGTCTGTATTAGCAAAAAACTGGATTCAGAACCTGGGGCTTGAACCCAGACCCTGTCATGTGGGATGTGGGGGTCTTAGTTGGCATCCTCACTGCCAGGTAAAATGCCCATCCTGAACTGCACTTGACAGAGCTGACTGCTTTCACCCTCTGAGCTTCTGGCTGGTGCTTTTCAAAATGGCCACTTAGGACCCGGGCCTCTTGCAGCGATGTCAGGGCCAGCAGGTGCTTTTGGAAAGGATCCTTGTAGTTGGGCGAAAATCGAGGCCTAGAAGTCTGCAGGATAAAGCAGAGAACAAATTCATCAGAAAGCAAATATAGGTACTGCTAGTTTAAAATTTTCCCTGTAGTGTCCAAAGCAGCAACATCGGCTTACCCAGGAACTTTCTTGATGACACTATGAAATAAACGAATAAATGATATTGCTTAGATTCATTGCATTTATATTCCTCAGCTTAATTCATAATTCCTCTCACAAATTTGGTAAGATATTGACACCTGTAAGTGTGTCATGGAAGAAAAAATGCTTTTATTTCTAGTATTACAAGTTTCAGTCTTCAGAGCCTGATAAGTTCTTCTATTTATTTATTTTTATAATTATATGGTTGATCAGGGTGGGAGGGATCAAGGTTTAGAGAAAATTGGGTGAACTCATTGTTTGCAAATTTGCTGTTTCTTGTTGTTTCTGGGGGAAGGGGAGAGACAAAGGGGGAAGCCACACTTGACTTTCCACACGTCCCAGTACCCAGGGATGAGGAGCCGCCACCTCATATCACCCCAGAGTCTCGGTGTGTACATATTCTGGGGGTTCTTCCCCAAGTAGTTTGGATAGTTCTGGAATGCTGTGGATTTCACCAATCCAAGGATGATTTCACCCAGAGCCTGATCAATTCTTATGAAAATCTAGGTTTAGGAGAAATTGTTTGTTCTAATTGATTGCTCTACTGAAGACCAGGAAATGACATACTACTAGTTAGTTCTTTGCTAGTGGTGGGCTTGGTTCTGCTGACCCCACTTGGGTGGTCTCTGAAAGTTGTCAGGTGGTCGGAACGATCATAGGTCAAGCATCTGATGAGGAAGGCCAAAAATATTCTGATGTTTGCATCAAAATCTTCAAAGGGACCGACTGTCTTTAGAGTGAATGCAAGGAAGGCTTGAAGTTCCTTCCTGAAGAGGCTTTAGTCCGTCCGGGTTTGGGCTTATGGTCTCAGCCCTTCTGAAGTCATATCCGATTGTATTAAAGACAGATATCTGGTAAGTGTTTCGTGTGGCAATTAAGACTGCGCTGGATCACCACATCACATGTTGGAGTGCTGGAGTCTGAGTCCCTGTTTTGGTTATGATTAAATAAAAAAATTTAGTTTTGGCAAGACAGAGTTAGTGAGAGAAGGGAAGATAGAGACAGAAAAAGCCTCCATCCTTTGGTTTGCTCCCCAAGCTACCGCAAAGGCTGGAGCTGACATGATCCGAAGCCAGAAGCCAGGAGCTTCTTCGGGTACCCCAAGCAGGTGCGGGGTCCCAAGGCTTTGGGCTGTCCTCCCAGGCCACAAGCAGGGAGCTGGATGGGAAGCGAGGCCACGGGGACACGAACTGGTGACCATGTGTGATTCTGGTACACGCTAGGTGAGGGTTTAGCCACTAGGCTACTGTGCTGGGCCCTGTCCAAGAGATTTCTTTGGTGTGGTTTCCCACTTCCTTCTCCATTTTTCCTGGCTCCAGGTTTCCTTTGTGCCAGCACATGGTTTTATTTTCTATATTTTCTATTGCTTGGCAGCATTGATATTTCGCCTAGAAGGAAATATCCAAGAATCCCTGGAGCTCTTTGAGACGTGTGCTGTGCTCAGCCCTCAGAGTGTGGACAACCTCAAGCAGGTGGCCAGGTCCCTGTGAGTATGCGCTGGGACAGTGGTGGCTGTGTCTTCTAGAGCACTGCCTGAGGGGCAAGCTGCTTCATGGGAATTCTTTGGAAATTGGAGAAAATGAGAGTAGTGGTATTAAGGAACTAAATTTTTTCAAACACTACATTCCATTTGGAAGGGAGAACTCTTTCTCATGCATATGGCGATACGTTGTCCCTGGCAGCTCACAGGAGAGTTCCCATTGCATCATTCTTTTTTTTTTTTTTTAAGATTTATTTATTTTTATTGGAAAGGCAGATATACAGGGAGAAAGAGAGACAGAGAGGAAGATCTTCCATCCGATGGTTCACTTCCCAAGCGGCCATAGTGGCTGGAGTTGAGACAATCCGAAGACAGGAGCCTGGAACTTCTTCCAGGTCTCCCACACAGGTGCAGGGTCCCAAGGCTTTAGGCTGTCCTCGACTGCTTTCCCAGGCCACAGGCAGGGAGCGGGACGGGAAGCAGGCCTGCCGGGATTAGAACCTGCACCCATATGGGATCCTTGCGCGTTCAAGGCGAGGACCCTAACCACTACGCTGTCTCACACCAGGCCCCATTGTATCATTCTGTAGCTGACATACCACTGGACACATGGTACGTTTTGAGTGTCTGTTGGGAGAGTGTCCTGGATGGAAGTGGCTTTCCAATCCCCTTTGCTGAGCAGTGAGATGCTCCCTGCGGTTTCCATGTCCGTTTTCTTTACCTGCTCTGCCTTTCTCACTTGCAGTTGTCCTGTGGAGCCTGGCTCTCCTGTTTCTCCCAGTCTCATGACCCAGTATCACACAAAGACCCTTGGGCTTGGGAGCGGAGTATAAGGACCGGTGAAGGCAGCTTTTGCTTAATAAGCTGGTTCATTTGCTTTTTTCTTATGTGCTCCTTGTTTATGGTTCATTTTTCAACTAAAGCTGGCTAGGGTGGGCACTCGGGCCCTGGAGCAGTGCTAGTCCAGGCCTCCCAAGAGGGCACCTGCCCTTGCCCCTCGGAGGGCAGGGCGGCACGGCCAGCTCACAGGGTAAGTGCAGGGAGGTGAGTGCGGTGAGAGTTTTAAGGAAGTAATGGGTCTCCCCAGATTCCTTTTAGGGAGACATAAAGCTGCCGCTGAAGTGTACAATGAAGCAGCGAGGCTGAACCAGAAAGACTGGGTGAGTAGGGAGATTTCGTTTCTTTCTTATTGGTGAACACACTTTACATTCGAAGGAAATGCCCGGCAGGTCTGAATTTACCCTCGTGTGTGACACACGTGGGATCAGATCACATCGCTCCTAAATTTGCGGTCCCCGCTGTCTGCGTTTGTGACAGTCTTTGTTGCACAGTCTTTTACCAGTCTGACGCTTACTGATAAATTTTTCTTCTCTAGAAGCACTGGAGATTTTTAATTTTTAAAGATTTATTTATTTTTATTGGAAAAGTAGATTTACAGAGAGAAGGAGAGCCAGAGGGAAAGATCTTCCATTCCCTGGTTTATGTGCAAATGGCCGCAGCAGCTGAAGTTGGGCTGTTCCAAAGCCAGGATGCAGGAGCTTCTTCTGGGTCTGTTACATGAGTGTGGGGTCCAAGGACTTAGGTCATCTTCCACTGCTTTCCCAGGCCCTCGGAGGGAGCTGGATGGAAGTGGAGCAGCCGGGGCCCGAAGCCCATGTGGGATCTGGTGCTGCAGGTGGGGGCTTAGCTTGCTGTGCAGCTGCCGGCACTGGGGACTGTCCTTCCTCCGTTAGGGTTCCAGAGTGCCAGGAGCGCGCACCTGCTGCGTCCTGCTTCTGTCTGAAACCAGTCGGCCTTCTCTCTGCGAAGATGCTTATCTTTATCTGGGTCAGGGAACGTTCTTTGATTCCCCCATCTCTTCTCACCCCCCGCTTTATGTGTAATTGCAATACAGAAGTGTGGGCTTATGCTTTTCCTCACGGAACAAGAGGTCCAGGTGAGAACTTGCTCCTGTTGATTCAGTGGACTCCGGATGTCACAGCAGAGGTTTCTGCTCCTGATGAGAAGGTGACTGCTCTGGCAGCACGTGTGCATTCCCGGGGTGCAGAGACAAGAGGCCGTGCAAAGAGGACCCACCAGTGCCAGGGAAGAATCCCTCAGCACGCTTCCACTCACTTGCCTCTTCGGTGAAAGAGGTTGGAAATTGTAGTTTTTGGTTTTTTTTTTTTCCTTAAAGATCTATTTTATTTTTATTGGAAAGTCATATTTACAGAGAGAAAAAGAGACAGAGTGGAAGATCTTCTGTCCAATAATCCACTCCCCAAGTGACTGTAACGACTGGAGCTGTGCCGATCCGAATCCAGGAGCCAGGAGCTCTTCCAGGTCTCCCATGCAGGTGCAGGGTCCCAAGGCTTTGGGCCGTCCTCGACTGCTTTCCCAGGCCACAAGCCTGATGGGAAGCAGGGCCGTCGAGGTTAGGACTAATGCCCATGTGGGATCCTGGCACGTGGATGACGAGGACTTTAGCTGCTAGGCTACTGTGTTGGGAGCACTTCATCATTTTTTAAAAAAAAGATTTATTTCATTTTTATTGGAAAGTCAGATATACAGAGAGGAAGATCCTCCATCTGATGATTCACTCCCCAAGTGAGTGCATCAGCCAGAGTTGTGCCAATCTGGAGCCTCTTCTATGCCTCCCATTTTGGTGCAGGGTCCTACGGCTTTGGGCTGTCAGCTGCTTTCCCAGGCCACAAGCAGGGAGCTGGATGGGAAGAGGGGCTGCTGGGGTTAGAACCGGCACCTGTATGGGATCCTGGTCTTGCAAGGCCAGGACTTTAGCCACTAGGCTGCCACGCCAGGCCTGCTTCATCAGTGTTTGTGTGTAAATCAGGTTGGCACATTTGTAAAGGGCCAGCTAGCAAACATGTGGAGCATGGCTCCTTTTTAGACTCTGTTGTGACTTTTTACGTCTGCAACTTCAACAGTGAAGGAACTGCCGGAGAACAAGTTTTCATGTTTGCATTCCGAGAGAATTTACACAAAAGGGCAGGGTAGGGGATCTGGCCCACTGGCCGTAGAGTTCCTGACTTCGAAGACTGGTCCTAATGACATGATGACATCATTGTGGCCTCCACGGGGCTCCATGGGCTTTCTGGGTCCACATCGTCAGCGTGTGTTGCTTGTAACTAGCTGACTTTGCTTTGGTTCCAGCTTCCCAGGGAAAACAGCTAGATGACTCAAGCGTGCAGACACAGGCAGAAGAGTGGGTGGGTTTATGAGGGCGGAGTTTGTGGCTTAGATGGTATTCTCTGCTGAGAAGGAAGGGGACACAAAAGATGTAGGTAGGATGCAACCGCCAGAGAAAAAAGATAGGGAGGTGGGCGGAGTACATGGTGCAGGTCCCACACAGACCCGGGAAAGTGACCCGCTTATTCTGTCTGTAGCTCTTACATTTTTTAGATGAAGAAATTCTTTGCAGAAATATATGAACTACAGCCTGTGGTGCATCCTTTAAAGTTTCTGCTAAGTGGTCAGCAGTCTCCGGCTGCCTGTTAGCCCTGATCCCGCTGCGGCATGATGCCTAAAGCTGCCTGCCTTCTGTTTTGTGCACAGGAGATCTGCCATAACTTGGGCGTTTGCTACATGTACCTGAAGCAGTTCAGCAAGGTAACTGACACAGGAATGGTGCACCTGGGGTTTCATGAGGTGCTCCGCTGTGATTCTGATTCTCCTGTCTCCAGTGCCACCAAGGCTGCAAATCTAAGTTAACCCTAACCCTTCCTGCTCCATAATGTTTAGTTTGCTTCCTTTTGGAAAATAGGGTGGCCTCATCTGTCATGGGTATAAAAAATATAATCATTGTATGAGTAGTGTGTCTTCTTTGTTTCCTGTGAGATAACAAAAAATATGAATTAAAAAGTATGTATTTAGTAGGTACTTGGGTTTCTTGCATGGTACTACAGCTTGGCATATTTGGTTCTGACAGTTTGGAGAATATTTTGAGCAGGGACATGTCTGTCCACTGAAATATACTATGAGCTGGAGGAGAGAGTTAGAGAGGGAGACCCAGTGAGAGATCTTCCACCTGCTGGGTTCCCACATGGCTGTGGTGGCCAGAACCGGGCTGGTCTGAAGCCAGGAGCCAGGAATTTCTTCCAGGTCTCCACATGGGTGCAGGGACCCAAGCACTTGGACCATCCTCCTGTGCTTTCTCAGGTACATTAGCAGGGAGCTAGATTGGAAGTGGAGCAGATAGGATTCGATTCACTGGCATGTGAGATGCCAGTGCTGCAACTGGAGGATTACCTTGCTCTGCCGTTACACCAGCCTCAGGCCTTGGTCTTTGCTTGTACTGAGAATTGGAGAATTAGATTTTACTTGAAGCCACAAGGGTGAATCAGTGAATAATCAGCCCTTTGCTTTATGCTTTGGTGGAACAGAAACTACAGTTCTCTGACTGGAGTACGGATGGCACCCAGAGTGGGCCCTTGGTGCTTGGGTTGCTGCCTGTGACTTGAGTGAATAACTGGTTCCCTTTTCATTTATTGTCACATTGCCTGGGGATGCTGGTCAGTGGTGCCCTGGGGGCCCTGGACTGAGAGCTGGTGCCCTGTGTTAGGAGGGAGGAAGGTGCTGTCCTTGCGTGTTAGTGATCCTGGGGCCTCCTCCTCCCTCGTCAGGCACAGGAGCAGCTGCACAGTGCCCTGCAGCTTCACAGGCATGAGCTCACCTACGTGATGCTGGGGAAGGTGCACCTGCTCGAGGGAGACCTGGACAAGGCCATCGGAGTCTACAGGAAGGCCGTGGAGTAAGTGCTTTTTCTTCAATGCGTGAGCAACTAAAAGCCAAGAGGATGTATGAACGCGCAATCCCGGGAGCGAGCGTGCATGACCCCTGAGTAGTTGAAGGAGTTCAAGGCCATGCTGAGGCTTGGTTAAGACTCTCCCAAGGGACTGTGAGTGGACTGTTTGTCCTCTTCATCCCAGAGGACAGCTGCTCTGGGCCAACAGGAATCTGGTCGCCTCCTTTGTGAGCTCGTGACTGCTTGGTTGTCGTCACCACCCCAGAGGCTGAAGCTGTAATGGAACATCCATGAATCAGTTGCGGTGAGGTGCACATGGCTTCCACTAGTATTCCACGGTTCAGAACTAGTGAGATGGCCACTGCAGCTGCAGGGAGAGTAGACAGGCCCAGGAGGAAGAGGGCAGATTGAGGAGTAGACAGTCTGTCATTTTCACTCTATTCTTTTTTTCAGATTTTGTTTCCAGAGATTGCATTTGGTATACAAACCTCATGGTTCAGCAGTAAAATTCTAGTCTCATTATCCCATGGTGACTTTTTTTTCTTTTTTTCTTTTTCCAAGATTTGTTTCTGGGGCCAGCACAATGGCCCTAGTGGCTAATTGTCCTCCTCCGAGCTCTGGCATCCTATATGGGCTCCAGTTCATGTCTCAGCTGCTCCACTTCCCTTCCGGCTCCCTTCTTATGGCCTGGGAAAGCAATGGAGGTTGGTTCTAAACCTTGGGACCTAGAAGCTCCTGGCTCCCGATCGGCTCAGCTCCAGCCATTGTGAATATTCGGGGATAGGAAGTGGAAAAGCCGGGACACGAACCTGAGCCCACACGGGATGCTGGGATCTCAGGTGGAGGCTTAGCTTACTGTGTCCAGCGCCAGCCCTTTGTTGCTTTGAATATCATTATGGTAGTTCAAGACTGTGAATGGAACTGAGTGATACCTCCGAACTACACAAGGATTTCTGTTAAGGTATGGATCAGCTTTCCATTACTAGGGCTAGAACGCATGAGAGGAGCCACATGTAAAAGCAGAGAGGTGAATGTGGCTCACTGCAGCCGCAGCAGTGGGCTGAGACCAGTGATGGCAGTACACATGTGGTGGGATGGCCGCACGGTGAGCAGGAAGCAGACACGCCTGTGTGGTCTTGCTGTGTAGTGCCATCACAGGTCATGGGGACCCGCTCAGAGCCTAATGCAGTCTAACCACTTTCCAAGGCCCCATTCAGACACCCTGTAGGTGCCACTGGCCCGTGACTTGGGACTCACATGCCTTTGTGAGACAGAAGGCCAGTTGTTACCATGTGGGTAAGCTCTTAGGTTTCAGTAGTCAGAAGCTGCTTTCTGAATTTCCTTTAACCTTACTTTAAACCCAAAATGTCAGAAAGGTTGCTTTGTTTACTAAGCAACAGAAGGTTTCTGTCATCAAGAGGCTGTTTATGTGGTAAACAGGAAGAAACCACATCATGTGTTAAAGGGCCTCTGTGGTATTGAGTCGTAGCACTCGTAAAGGTTGGCTCTTTTATTAAAAAAAAAAAAAAGTTTATTGACTTGAAAGGGAGACGCTGTGAGAAAGATCTTCCATCTGTTGGGTCACTCCCCATATGGCTGCAATGAGCGGGGGTGGGTCAGGTCGAACTCAGGCACGACTTTATCTCCCGGTGGGTATAGGGCCCAGGCACCTGGGTCATTCTCCATGCTCTCCTGGATGCATCAGCTGGGAACTGGATTGGAAATGGAGCAGATGGGACTAGAGCCAGTGCCCATCTGGGATGTAGTGCTTGATCTGCTAGGACAGTGGTGGCCGTGCGGTCAGCCCATGCAGTGTATCCAAGGAACCAGTTCTCGAGGGACTGGTCAAGTGCTGAAGTTACTGTTTCCAAATCGAGAAAAAGTAAACGGTGTTTGGAGCCTCACTGAGGAAGTAGAAACCATCATTCGTGACTGGCAGCTCTGGTGAGAATGCCTAGTGATGGTGGCATGGGTGCTGCTAGAGTCATAGAAGTTTTACTCACATGAGGAGGGACTGAGTTGAGATATTGTTGTGGAAAGACGAAGGCAGATTCCCCAGTGAACTAGGAAACTGCTTAGCCTTCCCTGGCTGGGCTGTTTTACAGGCAGCTAGTGCTCGCCCTGGTCGCAAAGGCAGATGATATACAGAGAGGAGGAGAGACAGAGAGGAAGATCTTCTGTCCAATGATTCATTCCCCAAATGACTGCAACCGCGGGAGCTGAGCTGATCCAAAGCCAGGAGCCAGGAGCCTCCTCTTGGTTTCCCACACGGGTGCAGGGTCCCAAGGCTTTGGGCCGTCCTTGACTGCTTTCCCAGGCCACAAGCAGGGAGCTGGATGTTAAGCAGGGCTGCCAGGATTAGATCCAGCGGCCATATGGGATCTTGGTGAGTACAAGGTGAGAACTTTAGCTGCTAGGCCACCGTGCTGGGCCCTGTTTTTTGTTTAAGACTTATTTTTATTGTAAGGTAGAGCATATTTATGGAGAGGAGAGACAACGATCTTTCTTTACCTTAGAGGCAAAGGGAGTGCTCTCCTTGCTTTTTTTCCTCTAAGATTTTATTTTTATTGGAAAGGCAGATCAGATTTAGAGAAAAGGAGAAAGAAAGATCTTCCATCCACTGGATCACTCCCCGAGTGTCCACAATGGCTGGAGGTGAGCTGAACCAAAGCCAGCAGCCAGGAGCTTTTTCCGGGTCTCCCATGTGGGTGCAGGCTCCCAAGGTTTTGGGTCATTCTCTGCCTCTTTCCTAGGCCACAAGTGGGGAGCTGGATGGGAAGTGGAGCATCCAGGACACGAACTAGCCCCTATATGGGTTCCCGGTGCATGCAGGGCGAGGATTTAGCCACAGTAGTGCTGGGCCCTATTGTGCCGGCTTACTTCCCCAGATGCTTGCAATGGCTCAGGCTAAAGCTGAGGCTAAAACCAGAAATTGGAAACTCCATCTTGGTCTCTCACGTAGCCGGCAGGGACCCGTTAGCCAAGGCCACTGCCAGGGTCTGTATTGGTAAGAAGCTGGAGTTGGGAGGCAGAAATGGGACTTGAACCCAGACACTGTGGGATGTGGGTGCTCCATGTTGGTCAGGGGCAGCACGAGGAGTGGCACTGCGTCTCGCTGCCTCTGATGTGCTTCCTGTTGCTCTGTTGCAGGTTCTCACCAGAAAACACAGAACTTCTTACAACTCTAGGATTGCTCTACTTACAGGTGAGAGTGCTCTACTCCTTCACCCACTGACAGGACAGCTGCTTTAGTCTCTGGTGCTTCCTTGCATTTTGATACTTAGCACATTTTCAATCTGTGAGGCTGTTGGGCCTTGCTCTCTGTTTTCTTTGATAAAGGATTTTTTTTGTGCTCAGATAAAAAGCAGTTCTTTTTCAGGCTTCTGCAAAGATTGGCTCTTTTGAGCCTGTTTGGGCTTGTGTTGCTGTGCCCGTTTCTGTTGCCCCTTCTTCCCAGCCAGGAGCTGCTGAGAAGGCAGGGTGCCCCTGCTTGGAGCAAGGTGGCGCTCCATGCATCTGCCTGTGAGTGGGGTCCTGTTAGCCCCGTCTCTCCTGTCCCAGCCTGCGCGGCCCCTGAGGAGAGTCCCGCAAGCCCCAGGTCCTGCCTCTGTTGATATTATGACTCCTTTTTTGTTTCATTTTACTTGAAATTCAGTGTTAAAGGGAAAAACAGATCTTGAGCCTTCCCGTTCACTCTGCAGGTGACTGGCTGCAGTGGCCAGGGTGGTGCCAGGTGCAGCCTCGTGGGTGTCAGGGGGCTGGAGAACTGGGTGACCTTCTGCTTCTCCTAGGCCATCAGCAGGGAGCTGGATTGGCGGTAGTTCCCCTGATATGAACGGGCGACAGCCTCAACGCAGGGCTCTTTTGTTTTCTGTGTCTGATACCTGTAGTTCTTTTTCCCTCAAAAGAGAATTGAGTCCCTTCATTGTGTCTCCCTGCTGATATAAATGGTCTGGTACACTTTTTTTCCCCTCAGCTTGGCATTTACCAGAAGGCATTTGAACACCTTGGAAATGCACTGTCTTACGACCCCACCAACTACAAGGTACTGTAGGCTGGGAGTCCCCAGAGCTTGTGTTCAGGGTTTGCCAGCTCTGTCACCTTGCTTTCCTGGGAAATTGCCCTTCCTGACACCATGATCAAGTGCTGCAGCTTGCTTCCTGACGGTGTGACTGTGGGTTGAAGAAGCCGGTGTTCTAATACTGTCACGCTTGGTCTCTGTAATGCACTTTTCGATTCCTCATGAACCTGAGAGTCGAGTTTGCCGATGTGACGGTGGGTGGGAAGGAAGGCCATGAGGGAGAGCAGTGCCGGGGAAGGACACAGATCCAGCGCAGCATTAGGTCATCGTGGTAGCTGATCGATTGGCTTAACCTTCCCTTCAGTGAGAGGAGCAGACAGGACTGGTGTGTTGTGATGTCTCGGGTGGGGTTGGCAGAGCAGTCTAAAAATCCTGGGTTCTCTGGCTAGAAGCTACAAGTGAGTGAGTCAAGCCACAGTGTGGGGTGCAGGGAGGTTCTTGGGACATTGTGCCATAGCTTGGAGAGATGAGCTGGGGCAGCTTTCCTGTCTCCTCACTTCTCTGGGAGTGACAGGACTGCTCCTGGTGTGCGGCATCTACACAGGCCATCCTGGCAGCTGGCAGCATGATGCAGACCCATGGGGACTTTGATGTTGCTCTCACCAAGTACAGAGTTGTAGCTTGCGCTGTTCCAGAGAGCCCTCCACTCTGGAACAACATTGGAATGTGCTTTTTTGGCAAGAAGAAATACGTGGCAGTGAGTATCCCCATCAGCTTCCTGTCTGTGTCACATGTGTGCTTACTGGGTCAGCTGAGCTCGCCCCTCCCTCATTAAGCACCTCTCTCCTGCAGGCTATCAGCTGCCTGAAACGTGCCAACTACTTGGCACCATTTGACTGGAAGATTCTATACAACCTGGGCCTTGTCCACCTGACCATGCAGCAGTACGCATCTGCTTTCCACTTCCTCAGTGCGGCCATCAACTTCCAGCCAAAGATGGGGGAGCTGTACATGCTCCTGGCCGGTAAGGGAACGCACACGGACCCCTCTGAGGGAGCTGAGGGAAGCCTGAGTCCTGCAGGAGCTGCTGGATTCCACTGAGACCAAGGTCATCCATCATTCATCTTTTAGTTATTTTCTCTTGCTTTCTATGGTGTCAAGTTCTAGACCATGAGGGCTATGAGCCTGGTCTTTACTGTCACTGTTCTACATGTTACTGAGCGTTAAAGAAATTTATTGTCCTTGAGTTTTTTCGCTAAATGGCCACAAGTACTGGGAGTGGGCCAGGCCAAAGCTGGGAGGCAGAAACTCAGTCTGAATCTCCCACATGGGCGGCAAGGATGCAACTGCTGGAGCCATCTCCTGCTGTCTCCGGGGAGTCAGTAGGAAGCTGGAACCAGGAGCCAAGCCAGTTCCACTGGAACCCAGTTCTGGCTTAGGTGGGATTCTACCTCCTTCACTTTATGTGCCCAGGGTTGATTGAACACTCAGTGAACATCAGCCCTTGGTTTTATTTTTAAAAGTTGATTTATACAGAGCGATAGAGGTCTTTGATCCAAAATGGCCCAATAGCCAGGTCTGAGCCTAGAACTCTACTCTGAATTTCAACCTGGTGCCACCCAGGCCGTTTTCTAGCAGGGCACTGGTTGGAAGCAGGGCAGTACGGACTTGATCCAGCAGTCTGATGTGGGAATAATCAAGCCTGTAAATGTCAGTTTTCTTATGACTGGCCTCCGTTAGTACATAACGGGATATACCGTTGGAAATGTATTTGACACAGAATGAATTCCCATCCAATGTCTCATCTCCTGCATGCCCAGGATGGCCAGGGCTGGGCCCAGAATGAAGTTGGGACTTAATCCAAGTCTTGTGCATGTGGGCAGCAGCCACCTGACCACTTCAGCCTTCTTGTTGCCTCCACGGGGTACATCAGAGGAAACTGGAGTGAGGAGTTGAGTTGGCCTTGAACCTAGGTGCTCCAGACACCTGCCCGTAGGCTTGAGCCTGGCTCGCCCCGGCTGGTGTGGAGTAACCTCTGCCCTTCATCCTTTTTTTTTTTTTTAGATTTATTTTTATTATTTTTTCATTGGAAAGACGGATATACAGAGAGAGGAGAGACAGAGAGGAAGATCTTCCGTCCGATGATTCACTCCCCAAGTGAGCGCAACGGCCGATACTATGCCGATCCGAAGCCAGGAGCCTCTTCCGGGTCTCCCACGCGGGTGCAGGTTCCCAAAGCTTTGGGCCGTCCTCTGCTGCTTTCCCAGGCCACAGGCAGGGAGCTGGAAGGGAAGCGGGGCTGCCGGGATTAGAACCGGTGCCCATATGGGATCCCGGGCGTGCAAGGCGAGGACCTTTAACCACTTGCGCCACCGCGCCGGGCCCTGCCCTTTATCTTTTAACACCAGTCATTTTAAAGATGTAAAATGATGGAACATATACACTGGACTTACTGAATATAAGCCCAAAGCAGTGTCCATGTCTTCACGGACAGTCTTCATGGCATGAGCTCATCACAGTCAGTGACCCCAAATGGTGACTGGGAGCTGCCTGGCTGTGATGGGTACCTGGGGGTGGGAACACCCACACCGTAAGGCCCAATGGCGATGCTGAAGTGGATGCAACTGTGAAGTCACAACGTCCCAGCTGTTGGGGGCAGTGGTGGTGGTCTGGGGAGGGACAGGAAGGCCGGAAGGGCAGCCTGAGAACTCTGGCTTTGTATGTTCACCTGTTTATTTGGACTTCTTCCTTGGTACTGGTTAGAAAGGAGTGCACAGCTGGTGGAGTAGATGGGTCCTCTCAAAAGTGCTGTTGCCCTACAGAACTTTAAAGCTGGCGGGTGTCCTAGGCAAGGCTTCTGCTGAGGGCTGCACATACAGGGTGCCAAGTTGAGCTGTCTGCGTCAGTGCTGCCTTGTCTTGTTGCAGTGGCCCTGACCAACCTGGAGGACCTAGAGAACGCCAGGAGAGCCTACGCAGAAGCTGTGCGCCTGGATCAGTGAGTTCTCGGCTGGGATGCTGTGGGCAAGGCTGAGCTTTCTGGAGTCACTGCAGCCTGGCCTGTGCACGCAGCAGGGACATCATGCAGGGCTCCAGCTCAGTGTGCGATAGTAAACCTGATTTTTTTTTTAAGATTTATTTTTATTAGAAAGTCAGATAAACAGAGAGAAAGAAATATCTTCTGTCTGATGCCAATCTGAAGCCAGGAGCTTCCTCCAGGTCTCCCACGCGGGTGCAGGTTCCCAAAGCTTTGGGCCGTCCTCGACTGCTTTCCCAGGCCACAAGCAGGGAGCTGGATGGGAGGTGGGGCTGCTGGGATTAGAACCGGTGCCCATATGGGATCATGGTATGTACAAGGTGAGGACTTTAGCTGCTAGGCTACTGTGCTGGGCCTGTAAACCTGTTCTAAAACCCCTGGCATCCACTAGCTGCAGGGGATGCAACCGTTTCCAGCCTCTGTTTAAGGTGGGGGGATATCAGACTTGGTCCCAGCACCTGCTTGCTGTGTGAGTAGGTTCATGCCTTCATTCTCCACGGTTCTACACACTTGTCCTATTTGCTGTGTTATGGTTAATTTCCCCTGAAATCACTTGTGTTTGTGAGACGGTCATGTAAATGACCACTGTTGGCACGCTGTAAGCCACAGGAGCTGTCTGTCTGCTGCAGGTGTAACCCTTTGGTAAACTTGAACTACGCTGTGCTGCTGTACAACCAGGGTGAGAAGAAGGCTGCCCTGGCCCAGTATCAGGAGCTCGAGAAGAAGGTCCGACTGCTCAAGGACAGTGGCTCTGTGGAAACTGACCCAGAGGTAGGGAGACTTGGTCACACCCAAACCAGCCTGACTAAGGACTCCTGGGCTCATGGTTCTGGAGAAACACACCTGTAAGAAAATCATCATGGAGGAAATCCTGGCTTGTTGGGTCTGTGTGTCTGAACCTCCCCAGGGTTGAGAAGGGCAGAGCCCAGCTCCCCCGTGTGCCCCAGCCTGGAGCTGTCACTGCTCACCAAGGGCATGCACTTCCTTCTGTGTGCTGATCACCAGCCTCACGTGGGCCTACAGGCTGCACTCCTGCTGGGAAGCTGGGCAGAGGGCTTAGCTCATCTCTGCCAGTGTCGTGTCTGATTTTTTTCTTTCCACCTGGACACAAGATGGTGGAGATGGCTCAGAAGTTGGGAGCTGCTCTCCAAGTTGGGGAGGCACTCGTCTGGACCAAACCAGCTAAAGACGCCAAGTGCAAGCCCCGTGGCACCTCCAGCGGCAAGCCTGCTGTTCTCCAGCAGCCTCTGGGCTCCAATCAAGCTCTAGGCCAGGCCATGTCCTCAGCAGCTGCATACAGAACGCTCCCCTCAGGTAGGCAGCTACCCAGAGCTCTAGGATGCCCCCTGAGCCAGCAGGGGACAGTGCTGGAGGGAGGCTGGCACCCTCACAGCTGGTGCCCTGATGGCTGGGGGTGGGGAGGAAGACAGGCTATGCCAGTCCTGGCTTCCTCATGGCTTAGCTGGGTGTCAGCACACTGACCAGGCAGCCTGCCCAGGATGGCTGCTTCCTAGGCTGTCACAGACCTAGCACTGTTGGCCTGTTTCTAACTACAGCCCTGCTAGTTCCAGGAAGGAGGACTTGCTCAACACTGCATTGGGTGGTGCCATCTTTTCTCTCCTAGGTGCTGGAGGCTCAGCCCCGCTCACCAAGCCACCGTCTCTTCCTCTGGAGCCAGAGCCTACTGTGGAAGCAAGTCCAGCGCAAACACTGGAACAGATGAGAGAGAAATAGCATAGGATAACCCCAGGATTAGGGATTCTTAGACGAGGATGTATCAGGTTAGGAAAGGCCAAGTAGAGGCCAGCACCGTTCTGTGGGCAGGCTCCACGGGGTAAGGAGGTGGAAGGCAGGGAGGGTTGGCACGACCCGTTTGGAAAGGAGGCCAAGGCACAGCATGGTAGCCTCCTGGGCCCCTCAGCCAGAAAACAGATGACCTACCTGGTCCCTTTCAAGAACCGGGAGCAAGGCTGCTGGTTCCAAGGCACATCCCAGCTGGGGGAGCCTTCCCTCCTGTGGGGAAGGCTGAGTCAGACCCTGCCAGCAGCCCCTCGGGTCAAGTGGATCAGTGGATCAGTCCCTGAGGCAAGCACAGACCTTGGGTTAGCAGTGCAGTTTGACCTGGGCCTGCTTGCCAGGGGACTCGGAGCAGAGCCCTGCCCTTGGCGGTGGGGAGGCGTCGGCATCTGCAGCCTGATCATGTCGGGGTATGAGGTGGGAGCCTCGAGCGGCTTTGCTCTCAACTCCAAGAGCCGAGGAACTCATCAGTGGTAACAGTCTTCTAGGTCCTGTTTAAAGATAATGTATTTTCTTTGAGGAAATTTGTATTTGAACCAATAAGAGATCACAATAAAAACATGTTGGGAAACAGCGATCAGCCTTCCCTTGCCTGTTTTCAAGGCTCCTTAGTGCAGAAGGAAGCTCGAGGGCCAGCCACCCTGGTGGTGGCAGGTCAAGCAATCACTGCCAATGGGTCGGTTCACCCCACTCACCAGTGTGGAGTCCGAGCCAGCACACTGAGCTGGTAATTCTGTTACTGAAGGTTAGTGCAAAGTAGGGGGCTATTAGAGAAGACCCAACAACGAGAGAAATGAGCAGAAACTAGGGGTGGGCATCCATGTTCTTTTCTGGATTGAGCTGGCTGTGGGGTTTGGCTCTGGATGTGTTTACCTTTAAGATGTCCAGATGAGGCTGGCCACTCTACACTGCCACAGCTGAATTTCAGGCATGACATCTGGTTTGGTTTGAAGACAGAAATTCAGGAGACTGGAACAGCAGCTAAACCCAAGGGGTTTGGAAGTCACTGCAGGACAGCTAGCAATGAGGTTAGGATGTTGTGTGTGGCTGGAAGTAATGGTCTCACTCACCTTCCACTATTCCTTGGCCCTTCCCACCCTAATCAGTGGTCCACATGGGCATGCATCCTTCTCAACTATGTAACCATAAAATATATATATATATTACTGTCTGATAAGCACCAGCTGTTCCAGGTACTATAAATATGTGACACAGACAATCCCGGGTGGGGGGCTGTGGATCTACCATGGATGAAGGTTTGGGGACTGTGGGAGTAGGGACCTCCAAGGGAGTACTTGACAGGTATGGAACGACTTTTGGGGACCTCCACAGACCAGACCAGTGCGCCTGCAGGTAATGAGGCTGTGCTAAGACTGGGTGGTTTAGAGGGAAATCAGAAGGCATGTCTGGGCCAGACCAGTGCACCTGCCCACTGGGAGACCTGAGCTAAGGCTGGGGTGGGGCATGCCTGCCAATGAGTGCCAGGGTAGGGAATGGGTCATGCAAGGCTGGGCCATGAGACTAACCTGCATGTGGGACAGATTCTGTAGGTTCGCTGCCATGGGAACTGGGCTTGGGAGCAGGCCCAGGAAGCAGCATCTGTGGGTGCACCGGGAACTGGGTCTTGGGGGAGCTGGCCTAGCACCTGTGAGATCCAGCTCTGGGAGCCTGGTGGGGGAACTTGGGGAGCTCTCCCTGAGCTGCAACTCCCACAGGTGAGCAGAATTGAGGCTGGGGGCAGCCAAGGCCAGACCTGGCTTCAGCACCAGTCGGTATTATGTGTGGGCTGGGTCTGGGCCAGTTTGTAGCAGGTGTGAGGGCCAGGATGGGATGCAGGCCACCTGGCAGTTCACATGAAGGCCAAAAATGGGGAATGGTTGGGCTGGACTAAGCTGCAGCACCTGCCAGTGTAAGCAGGATGGATGGAGCCAGGCTGCAGGACCCACCAGCAGGTTCTGGGATTGGGGACAAGCCCCATAGGGAAGCTTTGAGGACTCCCCTGCCAGGCCACTGCTCCCACTGGGAGTGAGCTGGGACTGGGACAGACCAGGCTGGGCAAGGCTGCAACACCCACCTGCTCGCATGTGAGCTGGGCTTGGGGGAGGGCCGGCTAGGCTAGGCCACTGCATCTGCTGGTGCATGCAAGAGCCAAATGAAGTGAGCAAGCAAGGCTTTGCTGCAGCATCTGGTGGCAAGTGCTGGAAATGGGTACAAGTCATGTCAGGCTGGACTGCAAATGAGCAGTCAGTACTGACACCACCGGCAGCGAGATCCACAACGGAGTCTGGAGGAAGTCACGAAGATGTCCCCACACACCAGCTGCCCAGCACATGTAGCCTCTTCCACATTCACTGCCCAGCAGAGTGGCTGGCATTCTGGGTCTGGGTCTGGGTCTGAGTCTAGTGGTCCAGCTGGGGAGTCCCTCAACAAACCTCGCCTGTGGTCATCCCAGACCTGACTTGTGTGCGCCAGTCAGTGCAGGGTCAGGGTCAGTCCATCACCTGCACCGTTAAGGCACATATAGCTGCCTTGGCAGTCCCACCTCAGCCTCGTCTCCCACACAAACCCATAGGTGCTGCAGTCTAGTCAGGGTAACCCCCACAAGGCACACCTCCAGCCCAGTTTGTGTGTGCCAGCATGTGCAGCAGTCTAATCCAACCCATCTCGCATCCCATCCGGCTCTTATACACAGGTGCTGCAGCTTAGCCAGACCCACCTCCGCCCCTCACACATGCAGTGGGTGCTGCCACCTTGTCCAGCCCAGCCCACTCCCAGCCCTGGTTCTCATGCTCACCAGCAGGAACTGCAGCCCAGCAGAGTGCCCAGTTTCTTACAGTTTCCTGAGCCACTGAGCGACACGGTGACTGCAGCGCAATAAATGCACTCTTGGAAATTCTTCAGAGTAGAAGCATTCTCACCACAAAAATGATAAATATGTGAGGTAAGGCTTGTGTTAACTAGTTCAATTTAGCCATTACACAAATTAAACAGTTTTTAAAACATATTGTACATGATAAAGACATGTCATTTGCCAATTAAAGTAAACTGACTCCAACCTAATAATGTATATAGAAAGTAATTCAAAGTGGATTATAGATCTAACTGAAAAGTTACAGTTCTAGAAGAAAACCAAAAGCTATGTTGGTGACAAATGGAGTGAGCTGCCAGTATTTCTCAGGACCAGGAGGGGGCCACGAAGACTTTAAGGGAGATACATGTCCAGTCAGAAGCTAGGAGAAAGACAAAAGGCTGAATCCACAACATACTAAAACCTCTAAAAAACTAGGCCATATTTAGTAAACAAACAGCACAACTAATGAAAGAAAATGCACAGAAGATTTTGATACCTTATAGACAATGAGTGACAAGCACTAACAGTTTTTAAGGGAAACACAAACTGAAACCCACAATGAAACACTAAGTTTCACTGCTGGTGGCAGCTTATCCCACTGTGCCACACTGCTTGGGCTCCATTTCTGAGGGAATTATATTCAAATCACAACGAACACCACTGAATATCCATCAAAAGGGCTAAAGTCATGCGTGACTGCCGTGCGCCACTGCCGGGGTGTGGAGCGTGGGTTTCCCAGCAGCTCCATTTCCCGGACTATTCCCTGGCAACCTGTTTTCCCTGTGGGTAGCCACTCAAAGCAACAAACTGCAAGTCCAGTGGAGTCAGCCCAAGGTATCCTGCTGAGTGACACTTACCCAAAGACCCCAAATCTGCCGTTCTAACCCCAGAACAGGCAGAACCGACCTCTGCTGAAGATGCCACTGGTCATGCTTGCTCCACACCCAAACTCTCAGCTGAAAGAAGCAACTCTTGGGTCTTCTGGACTAAGGCAAGGCGGCCCAATACAACATACATTTGTCAAGACTTACCAAGGGGAATGGTTAAAATGTGTGGTGTAGACAAATGTACTGTATACAAATTTCCACCTCAAAAACAAACAGAAAACCCCTCAAAAAATAACACATTGTGGTAGTTTTTCAAGTGCTTTAACATGGTTCGAAAGAATCACAGGCAATGGCCCATTTAGCTTGGTGACCAATGACATAACTGGCTTTGTATGCAACTGCCGAGAGCCCTCCAGGGGAGCAGCCACCCTCAGCGCCGGGTCATGCAGGTAACCCTGAAACTCCACAAGGACAACTTGTCCCAAACACACAACACTGGCCGCTCCCAATCCTGCACAGGACTGGGATTCCTTCTGATGAGCACCCACCCTCCACAGGCGGCCCTGCTTGGTGACTGCCGACTGTGGCTGCTGTGGCAGCTCTTTCCTGAATGCAGTGTCAGCTGTATGCCAGCAGGAGGGCACCGTCCCCCTCCACCCGGCCTGTGTGGCTTTTCCCAGGTCACTGGATTTTCAAACTTTTTTCTTGTAAAACCAGCACAAAGCCAAGGGTGACGGGCCCAGAGCCTACAGATTCAGTGCAGCCTGCCCTCCAGTTCCTTTTTGCCCAGCACATCCCAGGTGACAGGGCTGCCCTGCTCTCGAGGTGGGAGTTTCAGGTTCACACACACCCATCTGACACAAGTTCAGTAACACTTTACAGAACAGCAGCCACTTCCAACACTTACCTATCGCCTACTTGGATGGTCGTCTCCAAACTGATGCAGCGTCCAGAGTACTTGAGGCTACCGCAGGCTGTGTGTTGCTCCCCCTTCCTGGACCTGGCTACTAACACCGCCAGGCAAACCCGGGGCTCTCATGCCCACGGTGGGGAACCACAGGCAGGTGTGCACAGCTCTGCAAGATTCGAGGAGGACGAGTTGTTCCAAATTGTCTGGTCTCACCGAAACCTAGTAAAACCAAGAAAGCAGGCTGCTCGTTAATGATCGGTCAGTGAGCACGAAGGTGGAGGATGAGGCAGCGGCCCAGGTGGGTTGCAGTGGGTCACGGTGCACACTGCCTAAAGCTCACCTTTTCTCTGGAGAAGCAGTCTTGCTGTGCCTTTTGGCTTGAAGCTGGAAGTGGAGGTCACAGGCAGCGTGAAGGAGCGCTCAGATTCCAGAAGCGGCTTGTGTGGGCCTGGTGCGGAATGGGTGCTCACAGCAAGGCAGCCAGCCATTGTGGGCTGTGCCTCCCAGTCCCTGGATCAGCACGTTCAGCTCACCACGTGCTGCTGTGTCAGGGCCAGCCAGGCTTAGCATGAGGGAGGGACCCGCGCAGGGCATGGTGACGTGCTGGCCACAGGTCAAGACCAAATGTTGCCAGAAACAGAATCAACTACAAACAGGCAGGGTTCCTAAAATGTATGTCATTTTTAATATGTTTAAAAGCACACAGAAAACTCAGGATTTATTAAAAAAATAAATAAATATTAGCATGACAAATTTATTCCTGATTCTGGGGCTATTGTGGGCTCCAACTCCTCGATGACTATGTTGATGAAAACATAAAATACAAGATTTGTCACACACATGACCTATTAGACACAGAGAAGCACATTCCAGTTTTAAAAGCAGTCCTCCAAAGCTATGAACCAACACAAATCCATCTTGTGTTGCAGAAGCCAAGCCACCAGGCCTGCAGTCACCCCTCCGCTAGGCTGCCCAGGGCTGCCCGGCCTGCAGCCCACTGTAAGGCACAGGAGGCCTGACCCATCCTGACTTGCCTCTCTGACCCCATCCCCACAAGGCAGGAAGGGCCGAGGACTCACGAGCAGCACACGAGGGTGCAACCGACAAGGCATGCATGTCTCAGCTGGCGAGGAGGCGCCACGTTCCCAGGGAGAAGCTGGCTGGCAAGGCTCCAGGAGGCTATGGAAACTGATGATATGGGACTGGGGTTGGGGTATCCCCTGTAATGCACCCAGCCCCATTAGGAGCTAACTGAATTTGGACGCAACACTGAAATGTGTGGACTTGCCCACGGGCTGGAATGTGTGTGGCACAGTCTCTGCTGCTGCTCTTCGGCTGTTCCCCATGTCAGTTCTGGAAGCTGTCCTGACACCCTTGGTCCTCTTCCAAAGCACTTCCTTGCTGAGATCCTCTCTGCTCAGCACACCCTGCAGGAGCCTCCTAGGAGCGGGGAAGCACCTCTGAATAGACAAGGCCTTCGGCTGAAATGGCGTCTCCCAGGCCCACAGTGCGAACGGGGTCTTTGCAGATCAGGACGGGGGTGAAGTGAAAGGATATCCCCTCTCTGTGCCACGTCACAACTGGCTCATTTGGGCTGAACACAATCCTGGGGCCTGCTTCCAAGCGGGAAGTCACAAACTCTTGGGGTGCCTTCAGGGACACTTGTTGGGCGTCGATGGTTTTTGTGGCGCAGGCCTGAGTCCCGGCCACCCGTGCTCCCGCGGCCACGGCCGCCACCTGGTTGGCCCAGTGCCCATCCACCGTTGCCAGGATGTGGTAGACCAGCGTGTGGAAGTGGATGCGGGTGAGGTCCGAGGTTCTGCTCTCACTCCTCCCGTGCTCTTTCAAGATCCAGAAGAGGATGTCACTGACCACGCCCACGTCAGGAACACCGTTCCATGAAGAGAGGGATGAGTGGGGCCCGGAGGCTGACTGGCTGAGAAATAACAGCTCCTGCTCGTTCAGCCCGAGGGAGGTCACCGCAGGGAAGACCTGCTAACGGAGAAGCAACAGGTCTCTCTCTGGCAGGAAGGGGGCAGCTTGTTCCTGCACACAGGGCTTCCGGCCCCTGGAGTCCTGGACTCGGTCGCTCCTCTAACCTCCTCCGCCTTCGAGACCAGCTGGGCAGACACTGTGTGTGGCTGCAGTGCCAGGCACTGTGCCCTGGAGCGCAGCGCAGCCCCACCGGTGCTAACGCTGCAGTCTGTATGCTGCCCCAGGTCATGTTCACCACGTCATGGGGGGGTGTCCTGTGGACTAGAAGCCTACAGAAGGGTGGAGCTTCCTGCTGAGGGAAGTGACATCTCTGGAGTGGATAAAATGCTCAGAACTGGGGCGGATAAAATGGCATGTCATGTTACTCCTCTGCCTGCAATGCTGGCATTCCATATGGGCGCCAGCTCCCTGATTAAGCCTGGAAAAGCAGCAGAGATTGGCCCACGTGCTTGGGCCCCTGCACCTAAGTGGGAGGCCTAAAAGAAGCTCCTGGGGCCCAGCTCCAAACTAGCTCCTTTTCTTACACATGTCGGGATCCCATATGGACCCCGCTCCCCATCCAGCTCCCTGCTTGTGGCCTGGGAAAGCATAGAGGACAGCCCAACTCCTTGAGACCCTACACCCATGTGGGAGACCTGGAAAAAACTGTTGACTCCTGGCTTCAGATTGGCTCAGCTCCGGCCGATGCAGCCACTTGGGGAGTGAATCATCGGATGGAAGATCCTTCTCTCTGTCTCGCCTCCTCTCTGTATATCTGACTTTCCAATTAAAAACAAACAACTTCAGAAGCCAGGACTGCCTGTGGCTGAGGATGCAGCCACTGCCAGGAACTCAATGTGCCGGCTGAGGGCTTCCCTGCCTCATCTCCCCTGGTGCCCACAGGAGGGACAGCTGGATTCGATGCCGGGTTCGGGACTGAGGTGGCAGCTACCGAGAAAAGGCAGAAGCGCCTTATTTAAAAAACAAAAAAATTTTTTGGAAAAATATAAATAAGAACTATTCTGAAAAACGTCAAGAGTAAACAAGTGTAAACAGTGGAAGGAGCTGTGTGGTGAAGCAGCTCACGGCCAGGGCAGGTGCACCCCTGGGGCGCTGGTTGGAGGGGTGAGGGGCAGCAGTATGGGGACCCTTATACTTGCTGCTCCGTGTCTAAGCCCAAGACTTCCCTGAGAAGGAAACGTCCACCCTAACCCTTTGCACTGAAACGCCATTCTCCATGCAGTGCTGGTGACAATGACACGAGGAAATGGGCAGCCGCACACTCAGCCAGGGGGTGTCAGTGGCACACCTCTCAGGGGCACACAGCGTAGCCTTGGCAAACCCACGCCTGAGAACTGGAAACACACATGCAGGCAAAAAGGAAGTGATGCAATTATTCTGCACCACTGTATGCAACAGTAAGGCAAACCACGGAAGTGTCTGGAGGGAGACAGCCCACCCCCATGCCACCCTGGGGCTGGGAGAAGCCCTCCAAGGGGAAGTCTGTGAGAGCAAAGCGGACCATTCTAGGTAAAAGGGGGCTGAAACAGGAGGGCTGTCCTCCCACATGGACATACCCATCCAACCCTCCAGAGACAGAGAACAGACTGAGGAGGACCAGAGGCAGACACCATGTGCATTGTGTAGTGTTTCTGCAACGTCGTCAGGGCTGAGGAGAGGTGAGGCGGGAGCCCGCATGACTGGCCTGAGCCCAGAAGCTTGTGGGCGACACAGGCGCTGACAGCCGGGGTCTCCGAGGTGGCCACCGGCTTGGCCCTGTCATCACACTGCTGCTGTCTGGACCAGGAGCAGAGGGGGAGAAGCCCTCACAGTTCCCTCCCTTGGAGCTCCTTGAGTTGAACTGGAAGCTCCTGAGCTTGACTTCCATTCTGTGAGGGAGGCCAGGCCCCACTCCGGCCATCACTGCCACACTTCCGCCTGCCTAGGAGGTGTATTTCAGAACACTCCTGGTCCTTCCTTGCAGCCTTGGGGCTATCTCCTGAGCTGCCAGAGCCCGCAGCTCTGTCCTGCTGACAGGGCAGCTTGTCCGCAAGGCCCCGGAGGCAAGGGCCAGAGGAGGGCCATGGGCTTACCTGCTGCAAGATACTGCTCATGAGCTCCCTATTGGTCATGCTGGCCAGCTCCAAGTGAACTGGAACCCCCGTGGGGATGTCAGAAATGGAGGTGACAACCTACACAGAGAAAAAGCAGCGCTGCCATCAGAGACAGGCAAGGAAGAAAAGCTGCTGCCCCCAACTGCCCTGAGCGTGTCCTCCAGCTGTGAGCACCATGCGTCCCGGGACTTCTGGGCATGAGGGGTGTTCTCTGCCAGAGTGTGTTACTGAAGAACTGCCTCGGTACCCCTGGTACGGCAGCTGAGCAGGTGGGCGCACACAGCACACAGACCAAACCCCCGCGGCCACATTCAGTGGAGCACAGGAGGCAGAAGTTGCCTTGTTCTCCCACTGCCACCCAGGCCTGAGAGCGAGCGGTGCCTTTTGCAGACCAGCTTCCTAGCCAGCGGCCCCAAGGGGTGAGAAGCCACAGGCAGACACTGGCAGGCTCTGCGAGACACCGGGCAGCACTGTTACCTCCAAGAGCCTCTTGGTCTGTAGCTCCTTGCTCTGTCCCTCCATCATGTGCAGGCCCGAGAGGACCACCAGGTCGGGCTGGAACTCCTCCAGGCTGGACACAAACACCTCCAGCATGTTCATGGCCCCGTTGGACAAGTCGTGAGAGAAGATGAAGCGATTGGCGTGGGGAGCTTCTGACTGGCCCCACTGCTCCCCTGGAAGAGCCAGTAAACACAGTGGGAAAGGGGGAAGAGACTATAGGCCTCCTGGCTGGGGGGGGGGGGGGCACTGACAGGCACCTCTTCTGGAGCCTGAGCTCCAAGCAGGCTGGCTTCCAGAAAGGCCCCTTGGTCACAGGGGTCTAAGGTCAGCACTGCGCTGTGGAAGGAGATGGAGCACAAACAGCCCCAACCTGAGACAGCCTGTGCCAAGGTGAGGAGCTCCCCGAGCCGCAGGAGAGTTGCCACAGGGTTGTCATTCGCCAGCACACGGTGTCCCTGCACCTACCCTGCCACAGGAGTGTCAGCCCCAGGAGCCAGGCTCACGCACCTCCTCCTGCTGCTGCCCACAGGACACGGTCCAAGGCTGAAGATGCCCAGCGGCTTCGACCACGCCTGTGCTAGCCGCTCAGAGAAGGGCTTCATCAAGTTCAAGTGCTACCTTCTGTTGACACGTGAAGCCTTTTCTACCTCTGCTATCCAATTGGACTCGCCCGCTTCCTTCCCACTCCAGCACCAGCTCTAGAATTTCCAATGCTTTTCCAAGTTTACACCTCCCGCAGGAGCTGGGATCTGAGGTGAGGGCCCTGCTGTCAAGCACACCACTCCTGCTGCCTCCCCTTGCCCCCGCTTGGCCGCGGCAGGAGTAAGCAAGGACAAGTGGTTCCGAGGACAGACCGATGACCTAATGCCCACAACACCAAACACTACAAGGGTAAACTCCATGTCCAACATCTAGATACTGTAATGGGCTAAATACTGATGCATAATATTGATGCTCTTCAGAGTGAGACAAGGACCTGGCTCTCCCATAGCGGCACCGCTGGGAAGCACAGCGAGGGTCTCTCTGTGAGAAGACACACACTGCCTTCAAAGCAGGGCTGCTTCTAGCAGGTGACAAGAGACAGAAATCAACCAGGACAAGGAGGAAGGCAGAGGAGCAGAGCGGGTGGGCCCAGAGCCCAGTGTCCACTGCTGCCAGCCAGTTGTCCTCACGCTGCAGCAGCCTGGCCCACAGCCGGGCTGGCATCAGCAGACCCACACAGTGACCCCCTGAGCAGGAGAGTCTCTGGGGAATTCTGTAGGAGAGAAACAGAGAAAAAAACCTGACCAACTCTCCTGTAATTTTCCTAAGTCAGAGGGAAGCTGGGGATGAGTGTGCGTCCTAGGGGCAGGCTTGAGAGCTGCTGCCGACCTATCCCGGGGCTGAGGACAAGGGAGCTGCCCATCGGGCCCAGGGAAGAAAACTCAGTGTGAGGCTTGGGACCCATCTCCCTTGGAGAGCAGCTGTGACATCTGGGTAATCAGAACACAACTGGCGGCTAGGACAAATAGGAGCCTGGCTAAAGATAACAGTGTCACCTGGTGGTCGCCAGGGGCCATGACAGGAAGCAGGAACTTGGCAGGGGAGGAGGGGTGCAGCAGAGGCAGGTCCCCTCCCCCACCACGAGGGCATGATGCCCTTCACTAAGATGCTCAGGAGGGCAGAAGGCTGAGGAAGGAAAGCGAGGGCATCTTGGGACTTGGCCGGGAGAGTGTTAATGTGCCAGTCTGGAGGCTTGGGTCTTCAACGGAATTAACACTGTGTTGAGAGGCTTGCCTTCTGAGCACACGCTAAGACCCAGCTGGAGGAGGCAGGGAGTGGGGGGCCAGGCCTGGGCTCACACAAGGGGATATAACACACATCATGAAACACAAAACACCTACCACTCGCATGCCCAGGGCAAAAGGAAATGCTACGGTCTGCCTGGGACTCAGAGCAGCTTGGGGCGGAGCCTGCCTGGGATTGGGCAGGGACACCCACCCACTCCCTTCTCAGTAACAAGGGAGATCATTTTTATTGAGCGTGCTCAGTCCTATCTGGGCTCCGAGTATCTTGACGGAGGCCCCAGGACTGGCCTGTGAGTCGTGGCTCTGCACTGAGACTATGGGTAATCTCAGCTGCATGGAACCAGGCTGGAAGTGGTGTGGCATGCACAAGATGCCCAATCGAACAACACTGCCTTCCCTGGCCAGGCGCACTGGTACTTACGCATTCCCTTACCTGCCTGATATTCCAGAATGAGGTGGAACTCATCCAATTCCTGCAATGACTCTGGAGGGACAAACACACTGTCATCAAGTAGCTCATGCAGCTTGGGACCAACTGGACCACAAAGGAGGACCTGGAGACAAGCAACACGCAGGCCGTCAGGACGCCCTCTCCTGCCCAGAACCCGCACAGCGGCCAGGCCAGCCACACACAGGCCGTCAGGACGTCCTCTCCTGCCCAGAACCCGGACAGCGGCCAGGCCAGCCACACGCAGGCCGTCAGGACGCCCTCTCCTGCCCGGGGCCCACACGGCGGTCAAACCAGCAAGGACATGCAGGCCACTTCCACCATCTTGGCGAAGCAGTGGAGTTTATGTCAAATTCTGAAAGCTCATGCTAGCAGACACAAAGCACCACAGACAAGGGCATGGAGGGATGAAGGTCACCCAGCTACAGGGGAAATAACAGTAATGCCATCTTAACACTCAGTGACTTCAGCCCCATTTGGTTTCTGAGAACTGCCTGGCACAGAGGGGTCCTTAAGGGATCAAAGGATTTACAATTGTTCTTCCTGACCGTTGGGAGCCCTCCTTTCACTGCAGCCATTTGCTTCTGTAATCAGCCTGCTACACTCCCTTTTCCAGCTTCCACTACTACCAGTTGATAGTGACCCAATGGTGTCGCCAGCTGTGAGCAACCTGGAGGCCTGTGCCGGCACAGTGGTCCATCACCACCTTGCTGGGGTGGCTGTCCCGTCGGCTCTTGCCTGTAACATCTCTGCATCTGGTGTGCTCTCGGACGGACCTCACGATGGAACAGGGTTACAGGGGAAAGTTCCAGATGACACTCAACATGCCCCACACCAAAGCTTGGAAAAGAAAGAGGTTTCTCGTGTGTCCAACTAGAAAACCTCAGGTCTTGGTAAAAACACACCTTCAACTTTCCTCAAGCCTCACCCCTGACCACTTTTTGTCCTTTTTCAAATTCTCTAGATCTTCACCTCAAAGATTTATTAAAGGCCAGAGTTAGCCTGTTACCTGTTAACAACAACAAAATAGACAAAATACACGAAACAATTGTTTTCAAAGTACTTGAGCAGGGGTGGGTATTTAACAATACAGCTAAAACACTGTTTCCCAGCATATGAAAAAAACAGTTTAGGGGCAGAATCTGTGAGGAATATGTGGGCTTACCTCTGTGGAACTGCAATTTCCGCTGATTTTCTCAAGAGCTAGCGGTGGTGATGAGCTGAGCTAGGCATGACCATGGAACACCCTCAGACACTCATGGGTACTGGGGTCGGAAACAGCCGGGCTCGTCCAGGCTATAGTACCCAAGAATAGGGTGTGGGGCAGGCTGAGCCGCAACACCCACCAGCTCATACAAAGGCTGGGATGAAGAGGGCAGACTACGTTGGGCAAGAGCCTAGCACCCACTAGCATATGTGAGATCTCAGGTCCAGGGGTGGGTCTGGTGGGGAGAACTTGGAAAATTCCCTGGTGGGCTGTAGCTTCTGCTGGTGAGTATGTGATTCAGGTCTGGGTGTTGGTCAGGGTGGGCAAGGGAGCTCCCTCCATTGGCAAGCGTGTGGGTTGGTTCTGGAGGGGAGTGGACCAGGCAAGACAGGGCCAAACACTACCCCACTGGCATGTGCAGGAGCCAGAGATGGTTTAAGACTGTGCAGGGTTAGGTTGCAGCACCCAAAAGTGAGAGTTGGGACTGGGAGCGGGTTGGGCAGGCCAGACTGCAGCAGCCAATGGCAAAGACCAAGAAGTGGATGGGTTATGCTGAATTGGGTCAGAGCAACCACCGGATGTGCAAGATCTGGGGCTGGGACAGGCTTTGTAAGGAGCTTAAGGTGATGCCTTCCCTGGCTGCATTGTGGTTCTCTCTGGTGAGTGCCAGAGCTGGAACAGGAGTGGCAATACAGGATGGACATGACTGCACTGTCCCTTGGCATGGGTGTGGACTGGGTCTGGGGTGTGCCAGACTGGCTAGACTCCAGCACCTGCTGGTCTTATAAAAGCCAGGGTGGGTATAGCATAGGCTGGGCCAAGTCTCTGCACCCACTGAACCATTGAGAGCTAGGTCTTGGCATGGATCACATGTTGCTGGGCTGTAGCACCCAACAGTAAGAACTGGAATGGGTGTGGGCCAGTGGGGCAAGGCCACTGTTCTTTCCAGGACAAGATGTAGACTAAGTCAGTCTGGGCCAATGAGATCTGCCACTAGGAAGAGCAGCTTGGGGAACTCCTCTGTCAGCACAGTCTGCTGCACATACCTGCATGCACAGGAATCAGGACTGGGGGCAGTGACTGGGAGTCACTTTGACTGGGCCTCAGTTCCCATTGGTATATGTGAGGGCTGAGTGTGTGGTAGGCAGGGTTCGGCTGGGTCGCAGCAACCACTGGTTTGTGTAGGAGACGGGACTGGAGACAGAACAGACCTAGCAACTGCAATCACCAGTGTGTGCAGGCTGATGTGGGTGACGGACTGAGCCGTGATCCCAGACCTGTACTGGCAAGCACACACAAAAGTCAGGTCTGGTATCACCTCAGACGAGGTTTCTTTCAAGATCCCTCAAATGAACCACTGGACTCAGAACTCCGACCATGGGGAAAACTGCAGGATCTGTGGTCTGATGTGGAGTGCATGTGTCAGAACTGGGCCTCCTCAGTGGCTTGGATACCCAGAGCAGTGGATGGATACCCAGGTGCATGTGGAGGATATAAAAGTCCACTGGGTCTATAGAGCATATTTAGTACCACAGTAGAGGATGGAGGGCAGAACAAACAGGACAACTGTCCCAGCCAAGCGTTGGCAGCAAATATCTGGGTGAATGAAGATTCTAAGGTGGACTATGTCAGTCAATGGATCTTGGGAATATTTCCTCATCCTTGGATCAGCGAACATCGACAGCATTTTAGAACTATCGGAAACCACTTGAGCAGAACCCTCAGAGCATGCTCCCCATTGGGGACCCTGGGATGACATTAGGTGGCCATCCCCCACCCCTGGGTACGGAGGTGGTTGAGGCTGGTGTGACTTCCCCTCTTCTCTCCTCCTTCCCCCAGACACAGGAAGGAGAAAAATTTGGAAACAATGGTCTCATCCACTTTCCCCTACTCCTTGACCCTTTCTGCCCTAACCACTGGTCCACACAGGCATGCCTTCTTCTCAACTATGTAAACGTCATCAAAAATAAAACTAAATTCTCACACACACACACACACACACACACACACACTCCCCACACTGGTTCCCAGGACTAGTGCAGTATAGCAAACTGATCCTCCATATGCAGTGCTCACATCTCTAATGGGTACTGGTTTAAGTCCTGGCTGCTCCACTTCTGATCCAGTTCCCTGCTGACTGCCTGAGAAAGCAGCAGACCATGGCCTAGGCCTTAGGCCCTGTACTCATATGGGAGACCCAGAAAAAGCTCCCAGCTTTGGATAGGCCTAGTTATAGTCACTGTGGCCATTTGGGGATGAGCCAGTAGATGGAAGACTTCTGTTTCTCTCTCTCTCTGCTTCTCTCAAGTAAAAAATAAATCATTCTTAAACAAACAAATAAAAACCACAGGGCTGGTACAGTGGTGTACCAGGTTAATTCTTGGAGTGCCAGCATCTCATATAGGTGCCAGTTCGTGTCCCAGCTGTGCTTTACTGCTTGTGGCCTGGGAAGTCAGTGGGAGACGGTTCAGGTCCTTGGGCCCCTGTACCCACATGGGAAACCTGGAAAAAGCTCCTGGTTCCTGGCTTTAGATTGGCTCAGCTCTGCTGTGGCCATTTGGGGAGTGAACCAGCAGACAGAAGATCTGTCTCTCTTGTAAAATCTGCCTTCCAAATAAAAAATAAATCTTTAAACAAAACACTGGTTCCCAAACATGGGAGCGCCGGTGTGGTACCTGACACCAGCTTCTGACTTTGCCCACCGAGATCCTAGGGAGCAGACTGGCCTTGAGTGCCCAGGTCCTGCTCCCCACAAGGGAATTCCTGGCTCTGGTCTGCCCCCAACTCTGGTCGCTGCTGGCATTTGGGAAGTGAATTAGTGGTGGGCACTCTCTCGGTCCCTGCCTCTCAAAGAAGACAAACGAAATAAAACCACTCAGATAATCAAGCAAAGAAGTACTGTGATCCCCAAGAAAAAGAGCCACACTGGTGACCCTGCAGGGGCTGAGTCAGGGCCTGGCAGAGCTGTGCCATGTGGTGCTTTAGGCAGAAGGCGTGTGCTTCTGGAGCTGCTATGGGGCCAGACGCTGGCCTGAGCGCGCCCCAAGTGCTCCCTCTGGATAAGCACACACAATTACTTTTTAACATGTAATTAAACGTGAAGATTTATAATATAGCACAAGTAAAGCTGATCCCAGAGGGGAGAAGTGGACGTGCACTGCTGGATAAGCCGCAGACTGCACTACAAAACCCCAAGTAAGCACTCCAGCAGCAAGGAACGACAGCTAGTCAGTCAGAGGAGCTAAAATGAACCAGAGAACAACCCACAGCCGGCAGGGAGGTGAGGAAGCAGCAGGGAGGTGAGCTCACGGAAACAGCAGTGGTGTCAGACGCACACCCAGCCTCACGCAGCAGCAACCACGGTTTGTTTGGTTTTGCTTTTTTGCAGGGGGTGAGGGTGGTGGGGTCAAGTCTAAAAAGTGGGAAACACATTCAGGCATAGAAAGGGGAAAGCGGGAGAGAGAGGGTGCTCCTCCCTGAGCCTGGGAAGAAGACGGTTATATGATACCAAACTCCAGGCCCCAGAGAGGGGCAGGCCAATTTGGGGAGGGGGTATTTGATTGACAAGCGGACTGTAGTACACAGGAAGGGGGAGGCGGCTTCTGATTTGTGAGTCTAAGTTTGCTGTCTTCCTGCCCCATTTCATTCCCTCCTTAGCTTTCCACTCCTGCCTTAAGGGTTGCTGAAGGATGCAGTCTATTCTGTTCTCTGTAGCTACTTCCTCCTGATGAGGAGTGTCTGCCTTGCCTGTCTTGGGTTCAGAAAAATCTCTCCTTATCTCATCTAATGGATTCACCAACAAATGACCAGTACCAGTATCTGGAGGGATAAAGCCACAACAGATTCTTCAGATCTTAAGGGGTTAAGAGAATATTATGGTTAGTTTTATGTCAATAAATGAACAATTTAAAAGAAAATGGATGGAGTCCTTAAAAAATGTCAATTACCAAGCTTGCCTGTGAAACAGAAAATGTGAACTCTAGATCTAGAAGGTGTCATTGATGAATCCTACAAATACACGCGTATATAAATTAATACATCAGAACCAGTCAGGTTCATCACAGAGATGCCAGGTCAATGTAAAAAGCAAGCTGTACAACCTTCTCCACAGACGCAGGAGCAGTCAACATGATGCAGTACTAACTTGGCCAACTGCTGCAGGATATTCTCAAAGGCACTGCTCCCCCAGAGTCTAGCTTCTCCCCCACCAAGCCCGCCCTGGCTCTGCTCTCCAGGGCCTACTCCCAAGATGCCACACAGCACAGAGAGGCGACTTAGGGCCGACCTCTGGCACCACCGTTCCCACGTCTGAACACAGACAGCTTTAACTCTGCATGTTTGCCTTCCCACCTGTGGTAACAGAAGGAGTTCATCCACGGGGCATCCTGAAGATTGAGTGAGTTTTCTGTACATGCCCAGCACTTAGAATAGACTTGGTTTACAGTTAGAACTGAGTGTTCACTGATGCGAGTTGTTTCTGGAAAACACCTTGTTTGTGGGGCTCAAAGGCAAGTAGGTCATTGAAGTCACAAGATGGTGGCTAAGAAGAGCCTTAGGTGGGGATCAATGTCACTAGGTTATGGCGACCAATGGAAGAGCGCTGGGCGTGAACCAAGGCAGGGATCAAGCTGCTTTAAAGAAAGACTGATTGGTCAGGGGCCATTTCTGTGCGGGAGAACACTGTGCCCCTGGCCTATGGGAGGGGGCTTCCGCAGTCTGCTGATGACGACTGGTTCCTAGTTCTCCTCTCCTGGAATTCCTGGTCTGAGGCTGTTCGCTGTTCTATTTAAGAGTGTGCGTTTCCCAAATAAAGCAGAACTGCTCAGAATCCCTGCCACGTCTGTTTGTCTCTCACGTACCGGGAGGCTGCATGGTGGGCAGTTGGCTCACCCCTTCCAACAGTGGGGTACTAGAGGATGGGATCTGTGGGGAAGGAGCCCTGCACGGTCCCACTGTAAAGGCCCCTTTGCTCCTGTGAGTGCTGTACCTACACTGGGCGTGCAGGTCTGGATACAGTGCCTCCTGCTCCCAAAGCTCAAAAGTGTGTATTTAAATACCTACTTAAAGTATTTAACATGTGCACATCCGATGCATCCACACAGGACAAGCCCACCAAGCCAGGGAACCAAGCTTCCCTCTCTTCATTGAGAAGTGCAGCCCCTACCAGGCCTGCAGTGCAGAGCTGTCCCTCTGGAGTCTGTTACCTGGCATCCAGCTCCGAAGGTCTGGCAGCTGTAAGAGGAGCCTGAGCCCATGCAGGGAAAACCCTGCAGCATGTCAACCTGAGTCTGGCACCCCTGGCACGGGAATCCTCCACCTTGTGCCAGCCCATGTCTGGGCCTCCCTGGAACTCTTCTCCAAGGCTGTGTGGACTGAGTAACGCACACCCCTTTCTCTGCTCAGCCTCCCAATCAGACTGGCTGCAGCCTGTCCAGAGACCAGCAACACTGCCGGTCCTCCCACGGCCAGCACCAGGACAGCCTCCTCTCAGGGACCCAGGAAATCTCCTGGAATTCTGACAGGAGGGCCTGCCTCTGCTGCACAGGAGCTGGCCAAATGCCCAGAGGCCAGCCCTGGAGTCCCCACCTGTCCCCTTGAGAGTTAGCTACTCCCTGTAAGCTAATGACTGCCAGAAAACAGGTACTTGCACTCCAGAATTTCCCAAGAGCTTCAATTCCTACTGCAGAGTGAATATTCACACGATAACACGTCCTAACAGCCACCGTGCGACTCCCACTCCTCGTTCCACACAGATGGCCTGGCCAGGGATGCCACAGCAGTGCCACCTGCTACCTGAAGGCAGGCATAGCCAGCTCTCATCCTATCGTCTTCTGGCCCCTTAAAGACACTCTCCCATTGACTTCAGTCTAGTGGCTTTCATTTTCCAAGACTCTGGGTCTGGATCCAACAACACTGCCAACTTGGTTTCCCCTCATCACTCACAGAACCTGTCTCCGGTTTTGACTCCAGAGCCCTGGAGTGCTGGCTCACGGGTCCCAGCTGTCAATCTCTGTAGGATTCTCCCCGGCTCATGTAGCGAGTGAGCTGGGGCTGGCAGCACTGGCAGCAGCATCCACAGCTGTACCCTGCTGCTGCAAGGATCATCCCCCCACAGGCCAGCGGTGTGGTTCCTACTGCTCACACCCAATACTGCACAGCTTCCAGGCAGCAGGCCAGCACCTCACATTGACTGACTCAGGAAACAAACTCTTTCTTGCTCCTGAAAGTACTGGGACACCAGCAACACGCACAGGTTTGAATCCTGGGAATCTCACCTACCTGTAAATCTGTGTTGGCTGCGAATTTCTGTCCAATGAGCGCTGCGTTCCCTCCGACGTAGTGCTGTAAGTCAGGGCGTGGTCAGCAGTCAGCAGGTCTGTTTTTCTTGTTTAATTTTCAATCTAAATATTTATAGTTCCTTTCCACTGCAAAATGCGTTGAAGTGACTTTACAAGGGACATGGAGATAAGGCAGGGACGGTGAGTGCTCAGGAGGGAAGGGCTAACTGGCCCTCGCTGGGGATGGACGTGGGCTCTGGGCGTGGCTGGAGGGCTCCTGAGGACAGCACACTGCAACCCTAGAGGCGATCTCACTCTCTCCCACTCCTCCCAAGGACATTCAACACATGTTAACATGAACTCAAGTCTCACTCCTGGGTGAGGAACCCATATCTTCCTTTCCACCTCCACCTCCATCTTCGGTTCTTCCCTTCCTCACTCTACCAGTACACCTTCCTCTAGCCTTAGGATCCCTTTCTCACAGCAGGTAAATCCCAGATGGTGTTTTCAGAGTTGGCTCCTGGGTGGCTGTCTGTTTCCCTTCCCCTAACAGTAACTTAGTCCCCACAGTCACCTTCCCAGACAGGGCTGGAGACCTGTTTCCGAAGTCTGAAACCTCAGCAAGCCCCTCACACAGTCCTCATTTACATGGCCTCTGCTAACTGGGTGCAAGGCTAGCCCTTTCCCACTCAACAAATAAATGCAGGGCTGGTGCCATGGCATAGCAGGTGGGGCCACTGCCTGTGGCACTGGCATTCTGTACAGGCGCTGGTTCGAGTCCCAGCTGTTTCACTTCGGATGTGCTGGGAGAAGCAGCCACAGATGGCCCAAGTGCTTGGGCCCCTGCATCCATGGAAGAAGCTCCTGCCTCCTGGCTTCAGTCCGGCCCAATCCTGGCCATGGCAACCACTGAGGACTGAACCAGTGGATGGAAGCTCTCTGTCTTTCCTTCCCTCTCTAACTCTGCCTTCTAAAAGAATAAATCTTAGGAAGAATAAAAAGTAAATGCTCTGAAAATGCTGGCTGTCAAATTTAGAGAAAGAAAAATCCATTGGCAAATGGGTCTTCCTGGAGTAGATTTGGAAAAGGAATGGCCCTAACACTGGACAGTATTTTCCCTTCAGCCCGGCTCTCAGTTAACGCAAGGTGATAGCACAAGTGGCCACAGGTGCATCCATGGGCCTTGGGAAGTGGGTCAAGGAGGGAGGCTACTGCTCTGGTTTTGAAGCTGAGATGCCTGCTCAGTAGTCCTGCCCAAGCTCCCACCACAGCCGGGTGCTGCACCCATGCAGTGGCACTGATCAAGCCACCCTTGGACACTGGCTGCCCCTTGCTCCTCCTCCAGGCTGGGTGACTGTGATCCACCTTTCAATTTAAAAAGACAGTGCTGGGCCCGGCGCAGTGGCGCAAGTGGTTAAGGTCCTCACCTTGCACGCCCGGGATCCCATATGGGCGCTGATTCTAATCCCGGCAGCCCCGCTTCCCTTCCAGCTCCCTGCCTGTGGCCCGGGAAAGCAGTCGAGGACAGCCCAAAGCTTTGGAATCCTGCACCCGTGTGGGAGACCCGGAAGAGGCTCCTGGCTTCGGATTGGCATAGCATCGGCCCGTTGCGCTCACTTGGGGAGTGAATCATCAGACGGAAGATCTTCCTCTCTGTCTCTCCTCTCTGTATATCCGCCTTTCCAATAAACACAAATAATAAAAATAAATCTTAAAAAAAAAAAAGACAGTGCTTTCCACAGGTAAGGTCTTTTGTTTTTTTTTAAAATTCATTTTATATTTTTATATTTTTATTGGGAAGGCAGATCAGATTCATGGAGAGCAGGGACAAAGATCTTTCATCGCTGATTCTATCGTCATTGGCACAATGGTTAGAGCTGAGCCGAAGGCAGCCAAAGCCAGGAGCCAGGAGCTCTTCTCGGTCTCCCACGCAGGTTCAGGGTCCCAAGGCTTTGGGCCATCCTCAACTGCTTTCCCAGGCCACAAGCAGGGAGCTGGATGGGAAGTGGGACAGCCAGGACACAAACTGGTGCTATTATGGGATCCTGGTGCATGCAAGGTGAGGATTTATCCACTAGACTATCATGCCAGGCCCCCAAAACCTGGCCTTTTAACACACCGGCTTTAACTACTGTCTTATTTCACCAAAAACTAAGAGAATTCACTCCAGAATCTGCAGAGGTGGACATGGAATTTCTAGATGCTGGTTACTAATTGCTGAGAGTATTCTTGTCCTCTATTTTAAGGAACCAAAGGGCACCAAACTCAAACAGCAAACACGGTAGGTTTCATAGGGTTGAGAAATCTTGGGCCCCAAGGAAGAAAATTTCCGTTTCAGTGGAATCTTTCTCACTGTGAAACCAAAGGCAGGACAGCGCAGGGCAGAAGGCAGGCTGCCGTTTGGGTGGATGATAGCCGGGCGGCAGGTGAGACCCACCCAGATCCTCCTCGGGGAGCTGCCCCCCACAGCCATCCACAGGAGCAGAAAGGAAACCAGCAGCTTGTTGTCTGCTTTTAGCAGCCAGCTGGCTGAGGGCTGTGCCCACTCCTGCCATTCCAGTGGGCGGCTCCGAAGGATGAAAATTGGGAACACCATCCGAATAAAGTGGCCACAAAGGTCCGTCTGTGAAAGGTATCCGTTAAAAACAGCGAAGCGTGTCCTTGGTCAGCAAGATGCCTGACCAGGTGACCAGGATGTCTCGGCTCCCTTCCATCTCAAGATGGCCTAGCTTGTGCACCTGAGGCTCTCAGGCCAGCTGTATCAGCTGGAAAACTTGCTGGGATCTACAGAGTCAGAACTCCAGGTCAGCAGCCCCTCCACAGAACACTTGTGGCCACTCACCTCTTGCAATTACCAAAGTAACCTGCATCTTTCAGCATCTTTCACTGTGGCTCTGTCCCCTCCTCTTCCCCACCCAGCATACAGCAGGCAATGCCTGTGCAGGTCTGGCACAGCTGGGGAACAAGAGGGTACATTCAGGGAGTTCTAGCTAGAAGGGCTGCTGGCACCTCATCACCGCCCATCTCACAGCGCTCACAGTGAGGAAGCCTGCTCCATATGAGCAAAGACCCGCCTGCCCCCTCCTGTGCCACAAGCAGAATGTTGCCGGCCACAGCCACAAGCATGAGTGAGCCACAAGCCCCATCAGTGAGGAATTTCAGTAAACTGACTCCATTAAAGCTGCTTGGAAACAGCAGCGTTAGCAAAAGACCGGTTACTGCGCTGTACAAAAAGGAAAACACCCCGTAGAACTGGATTCCCAGTGGCTGCCATTTTGAGGCGTGGTACACCGCTTCTAAAATCTAGGTGAAAAAAGGCACCCTTCCCCCAACTCTGGCTGAGCCCCTGGGGAGAGTAACAGACCTGAGCGTCAGGGAGCTCCGAGGCAACCTGGGCGATGTCCCGAAAGGCCTCCTTGCTGCTGAAGAAGCGCTCGGCAGCTGCTCCCTTCCCCATGAAGTGAGTGAAGGCTTCCTCCAGATCATCCCTTGAATGCAAGACAGCGTGATCTCTGCCATGCCCAGGACTCAGACCAAGTGCCTGCAGGAGCTTCACTCCCGAGAGCACCACGTCGACACATGCGTTGACCCTGGAAGGGAGGAGAACAAGAGCTGCGACAGCGGTAGGGGCACTGGGCGCGCCCACGTCTGATGGCTGGAAGACACCACAGAGAACCGAATGCAACTGGACAGCCAGTGGCACACACACGAGGAGACTCCTGGGCGGAGGGATGAAGACTCCATTCACACTAGCCACAGGGTCATGAGACAGGGGCTTCGCATTGAATGAAACTGTGGTGACAAGGAGGCAGATTTTTTTCTGAGAAAATGTTGGCAGTCCAACTGCCTGGATTCACGCTGGCTGTATGGCTTGCTAGGAGTCATTTTATGTTCTCTGCCTCAGCTACCTCATCTGTAAAATGGCAACAGCAGGTATGTAACTAACTCATCAAAAAAGGATTCCACCTGCCAGTTCACTCCCCAAATGGCCCCCAACTGCTAGACCTGGGCTGGGAGCCAGGTGTTTTCTCTGAGTCTCCACATGGGTGCAGGGAGTCAAGGTCTTGGTCCATCTTCTATTGCTTTCCCAGAGGCATTAGCAGGGAGCTGGATGGAAAATGGGGCAGCTGGGAGATGAGCCAGGGCCCATGTGAGATGGTGGTGCCCACACTGCACTTAGTGCTCCTTAGGGGTCAGGGAGATACAAATGAAAATCACCTTGAAGTACTACCTAACTCCAGTGGGACTGGCCTACATTCAGAACTCCGCTAACAACACTGCTGGTGTGGACGTGAGGAGAAAGGTACCTCCCCTCACTGCTGGTGGGAGGGCAGCTAGTATAACCATGAGGGAAGTTAGTATAAAGAGTGCTAAGAGAACTGAAAATAGACCTGCCATAAGACCCTGCTACCCCACTTCCCAGAATATATCGAAAGGAAATCAGATCTGCTTATGACAAAGGGATCTGTAATCCTATATTTGCAGCAGCACAATATACAATATGGAAGACATGGAAACAATCCAGACGTGCGTCCAAAGAAGAGTGGTTAAAGAAACTGTGACACATCTACTCCGTGGAATGCTACTCAGCCATTAAAAAAACGAAATTCTATCATTTACAATCAGGTGGTCCCAAATAGAGACCATTATGCTCAGTGAAATAAGTCAATCCCAAAAGAATAAACAGCAAATGTTCTAAGGCAACATTTATGCAAATATAATAACAATAGCTTTTTCAATACTGTTTTGCTGCATCTCACAGGATTTTTTTCCCACTTCTTTAAAAGTTTATTTTCTCTGGCCCGGCGGCGTGGCCTAGCGGCTAAAGTCCTCGCCTTGAACGCATTGGGTTCCCATATGGGCGCCGGTTCTAATCCAAGCAGCTCCACTTCCCTTCCAGCTCCCTGCTTGTAGCCTGAGAAAGCAGCCAAGGACGGCCCGAAGCCTTGGGACCCTGAACCTGCGTGGGAGACCCGGAAGAAGCTCCTGGTTCCTGGCTTCGGATCGGCATAGCATCAGTCATTGCGCTCACTTGGGGAGTGAATCATCGAATGGAAGATCTTCCTCTCTGTCTCTCCTCTCTGTATATCCACCTTTCCAATAAAAATAAAATAAATCTTTTAAAAAAATAACATTAAACAATTTTTAAAGTCATTGAACCATTACATGTCAGACATTAAACTTTTCTCTAATGCAAAAATATGAACCTTAAATGCTCTAAGGTGCAAAAAAAAAAAAATAAAGCTGACTGCAGACACAAAGCTGCAAGTAGAAAATCCCTCAGCTCATCCAACAGGTGTCAGTCAAAACGCAGGTGCAGCGGCACCGCACACAATTACCACTCACCACCCCCCCACACACGTGTTCTTTCAGACGGTCCCGTTTTCAAACTCTCATTATTTATACAAACATCACAACCCTACAATAGTTTAGCATTTTGTATGTGGGACACTCCTCCTGTAGGTACCTCCACATGTGTAACACTGTAACCAGAGCAAGGCTCCCTCCTTGGTCTAACAGGTGAGCAAGATCATCACCTGCTGTGTTTTTTAATCAGGAGGAAACAGCGGGAGGGGCAGTCAGATGCAGGAGACAGCAGGATGTGCAGGTGGCAGGCATGAGGGATGCCACACTCCTCTGAGGCCTATGGGGCAAATATTGACAAATCATCTGGAGGAGAGAGGAGGCAACAGATTCTTGAAGCTGGAACAAGAGGAGAAAGGGGCGTGTGGAGGGCACTGGGCCCCAGGCTGGAGGACCAGACCTGGACAGCCTGCTTCTTGCTCCTGCCACTGCTTTGTCCTCTGCCACACACCTCGGAGGTGCTTCTCAGCTTCCAGCTGTCTCAGAGGGCACAGACAGACCCTGCAGAGATGTCAGTGTGCTGACCCGGGGGGGAGGCTCTGGACAGCAGGGCACTCATGACTGAAGCACCCCACGCTAGGCAGCCGTCCTCAGAGACCTCCGCAGCCTGCACAACGCCTTAGAGATCATCATCAGCGCGGTCAGCTGACAAAAGCAGGGCTAAGGCTTAACGTCCCACAGAGCAAAGACAGAGCCTCAATTCACACCCAGACCTGATGCTGGTGGCCATAGCAGCACAGGGGAGCGACCGGGGGTGGACACAGCGGGAGTGCTGAGTGTACTGGGAAAAGAAAGGGCGAGTGTCAGATCTGAGGACATTCACCGGCTGTCACTCAACGAGCAGTGGGTAACAGGGGAGAACCCCATGTCCTAACAGGTGTGGCGATGGGGCTCAGCCGCAACGTGGTTTCAAATCCCTGCTTCCATTCACCAGCCTGATCAATTCTCCCCGCTCTCCTCCCAGGCGTCTACTGTCAGCAGCTGGTGAGAACAGCTCCTAATTCTTTGAAATACAGCCTGGCTTCCCCCCCACAGCTTGCTTTTCTAGATGTTCTTGGCATGAAGAGGAAACCAGGCTTCAGCTGTACCACCTGCACTACTCCATGAGGACTGCATGGCAACACTGTATCTGTCCCCCCACAGCTACTTGAAGTACCCCAAAGCTACCCCTACATCTAACCCACCTCACCCTGCGCCACCACTGCCAAACAAACAACAGCCTCTCCACCAGTGTCCCTCTCCACCAGTGTCCGGCTCTCAAAACATTCCTCCCTGAGACACGTCACACTTAGCTTGGAGTGTGTGAGGCAAAGAGGAAGAATTAATGAATAGAGTGTGAAAAGGGGAAGGCAATGAGAGCCTGTATGCAAACTTGTGTAGCTTCATCTACAGGCTAAAAATCTCTTTCTGCATAAATGTTAAATCTACCCTACCCCCCCCACCCCCACCCCACCAAATGTGAAGCAAAACAGGTTGGCTCAGAACCTGCCCTTCACCTTCTCCCCATTTATCCTCAGCAGAGAACTTGGCCTGGCTCACCCACTCAGAATGCTTCTGGCTTTCCTGACCACGATATGGACAGAAGGGTGCTTCTGGTCTGGCCCCATCCTCTGTGGCCACGTGCACCTCACCTTCCTCTGCTCCAGGTTCCTCATGCCAGCACAGCCATCCTCTGTTCCCCAACAGTCCACCTGTCACTTCCTAGATCTGGCTCTTGCCGTGGTGGGTCTGTCCCTTCTGCCTGGAAGTCTCAGGTTGCTTTCCACCCCCACGACTTTAACCTCCCCTCACTATTCTCCTGGGGGATCCCAGGCTGTCTCTGACTGTATCCAACCTGCTGGCGCCTGCAGCTCTGCCTTTTACTGCCAGCAGCTGGCAGGGACAGTTCACTTGCACCCCCACAGTCAGTCCACTTTCCTTCCTCTGAAATTCAGCTTGGCTTCCTCCACCACTTGCTCTTTTCTAAATGCCTCTTCAAGTGGCAACCATATGGCATGCCGAGGGTGTACCCACGCAAATCACAGCCACAGCGCCAAGTCCCACTCTGCATTTTCTTTTTTCAAAGTGGCAGTGATAACTTCTCCCCTTAAACCCCATGTGCTCCTAGTAGGGCCTGTGCCTGATCCTATGCTCAGCCATCGTTGTGTTGTCAGAAAAACAAGGAACAGACGGTCAGCCTGCTCCACCCAGGCACCATCCACTGCTCTACAACCACAGCAGAGGGTTGGCCTGCTCCACCCAGGTATTGTCCACTGTCCTGCGAGGATCACAGGCCAGACTGCCTGGCTGGGCCCTAGTAAATCTCACATTCCAAGAAGTGCATCAAACGGCTGTTGTTCCACTCAGGAGTGATTGGGGTGAAGCAAAAGTAAACAGGGCTCCAGCCCTCTGATCACCGCTCTAGGGGGACATTAAGGAGTTTTCCTTTGAGACAGCAGGTTCTCCCTTAACCAAGCCTTCTCATGCTTGTCACAGACAATGTCACACACACTCACTGGGGTGAAATCCCTGACCCCCAAAGTGACCGTATGTGACATGGTGCTAATGCAGGGCTAAGGACAGAGCCCCAAGTGAGCAGAAATGGGGCAACTGGGAGGCAGCCCAGGGACATTCTGTTCTTGGGCATGCTAACTTCTCACAGCCTCCCAAGCTGGCCAGCAGCACAGCGGACACATCCGTTCCCTACAGGAGAGGCAAGGACTCCCAATATGCTGAATGCACGACGTGGGGGGCCTGTTCCTTCTGCCTGGAAGAAGGGGCTGACACCCCAGAAAGCAACAGACTAACAGCAGTGCACATGGCATTGCCCCAGGTGGGCAGGTGAGAAGCTGGACGCCAGCCACCCTTTGTCCCAGCACCGGGGAAGAAGGCTAGTGAGACAAGAGGCGAGAGGGACATCCTGGGAGCCTCTCATAGGCAAGGTCACACCCAGTCCCAGGGAGATCACGGGCGTGCAGGCCAGGAGGGTGGGAGGGATCACAGCAGGTAGTCTCCTCTCCCAGTCCTTACCAGCACCAGGCCGGGCCGGGCCGGAGTGACCGAGGGGCCAGCAGCCCACGGAACCTCGAGACGTGACGAGGGCAGGGTGACCGGGTCAGCCCACGGAGCCCCTTGCCATGACCAGGGCAGAGGTGACGGGGGGGGGGGGTGAGGGGAGCAGTCCACGGAGCCCAGCGCCGTGTCCAGAGCAGGGTGACCGGGTCAGCCCACGGAGCACACGCTATACCCAGAGCAGGGCCGGAGTGACCGAGGGGCCAGCAGCCCACAGAGCCCCGCACTGTGACCAGCGCAGGATGACCGGGTCAGCCCACGGAGCCTCTCACTGTGTCCAGGGCAGGATGACCGGGTCAGCCCACGGAGCCCCTCGCCGTGTCCAGCGCAGGGTGACCGGGTCAGCCCACGGAGCCCCTCACAAAGTCCAGGGCAGGATGACCGGGTCAGTCCACGGAGCCCCTCGCCCCACGCCGCCTCGCGGGGACGCCGGGAAGGCCTTCTCCGCGACAGCTGCCCCGAGGGACCCGGGCACTCACCCCACGGCCACGCGGCGCCAGCGCCGGGCCGGCTGCACGATGAGCGCATCCCAGGCGGCTGCCAGCCGGCTCTCGGGGGAGGCGGGCGCCGGCGCCGGGCCCAGCCGCAGCGAGCTCCAGAGCGAGCGCAGCGCCGACGCCGGCAGCTCAGGCTCCAGCAGGAACACGCAGCCCACTACCAGCGCCAGGAAGCCCGCGTAAGCCGAGCCGCGCCACAGCGCCATGGAGACCGCCACGTTCCGGCCTCACGCCTCTTCCGGGCTCCGCACGGCCACCGTCGCACGCGTGTACGTCAAACCAGCGCGCCAAGGCCCCGGAGGGGAGGATGAAGTGGGGGTGGGGCCGATCTGGTCACGTGAGTGGGTGGGCTGAGACTGGGGCGGGGTCTGGTCTCACGTGGGGCGGGGCTCCCGTGGGCGGGGCGTGGCTCCCGTGGGCGGGGCGTGGCTCCCGTGGGCGGGGCGTGGCTCCCGTGGGCGGGGCGTGGCTCCCGTGGGCGGGGCGTGGCTCCCGTGGGCGGGGCGGGGCACGATTTGCGAGGTGTGGTCCTTGGAGCTTTTGCACAAAGGCGGGTGCTGGGCCGGCACTGGACTGCAGTGTTGCCCCAGAGAAGGTCGCTGGGCGCGCGTTAGCTTTGCCTTGGCTTTGCCTTGGCTTTTCTCTGTTGCCTATTCCAGCCCGTTAAGGGAGTGGATGGGGAAGTGGAGCGGCCAGACCCGAACCGACTCCCATATGGGATGCCACTGCTGGCAGGTAGAGGATTAACCTGGCTAGTCCACCAGCCATTTCTCTGCTTGGACAGCCTGCCCACGGGCCTCAATGGCTGCAGGCTCTCTCCCACCTCCTGAGCCAGTGCCTCAGGGGCTGGTAGCTTTTCAGTACCACTGAATTTGCTCAGGGTACTCGCATCCTGTGTGGATATGAGTTAGCACTAGTCAGTAACTGGCCTAGTGCTGGGTACTTAGCAAGTAAGTCATTGAGCAAAAGCATGCTGACTGCTCTGCCAGCTGCGTTACAGAGACTTCAGAGATGAGGGCCAGAGCTGGGGAAGGCCAGCTTCCCTCAGTGGAGGTGGGAAGACAGGTACTAAGTGAATCTGGGGTCTCCAAGCACGCACTACTGTGTTTTCAGGTCAAGCTGGCTGCTTCTCTGGAAAACTACAGACCCAGGCTATGATGGCCTGGGTGGGCAGCCAGTGGTCAGCTCTCAGGGTCAGCGGCCCTCTGAGGGTCACTGGCGCTCAAAAGCAGTGACAGAGGTTCTGCAGGGTCCCAGTCACCTCTGCCCACATTGTCCCCAACCATTCCTACTTTTTTTTTTAAGATTTATTTTTATCAGAGAGGCAGATTTACGGAGAGGAGAGACAGAAATTTCTTATATCCACTGGTTCACTCCTCGGATGGCTGCAATAGCCAGAGCTGAGCTGATCCAAAGCCAGGAGCCAGGAGTTTCTCCCGGGTCTCCCTTGTGGGTGCAGGGTTTCAAGGCTTTGGGCCATCCTCTTCTGCTTTCCCAGGCCAAAGCAGGGACCTTAATGGGAATTGGAGCAACTGGGATTAGAACCAGCACTTGTATGGGATCCTGGGACATGGACGGGGAGAATTAGCCAGTTGAGCTATCATACAGGGCACCTGTACCTAATAGTACTTCTAAATCATTCTTTTTTTCTTTTTTTAGTTAAACTTTAGTTAGGTTTCTTTTTAATTTCTTTGAGTTTTTTTTTTTTTAATTTCATTTTATAACACAGTTCCATAGGCTCTGGGATTCCCCCAACCCCTCGCCAAACCCTCCCCCCATATTGATTTCCTCCATATTATTACAGTGCTACAGTTCATAACCAGTCAATTCCAACATTGCAGGCATGGATCATGCAGAGAGTCCAGCATCTTACTGTCCAGATAAATCCAATAGTTTCATTGGGAGACCATCCTTGATCTGAAAGCAGAGCTGACAGAATATCATCCCCTCCAATGAAAAGCCACAACACAAATTCAGCAACAGGAAGAAACATGGAAGTTTACAACATCATGAAGTCAATTGATATGGTACTGAGTGACCAATGTGTTAGAAAATGCAAGTTCTTAACCACATCCTGTAACTACTTCATTAACATCTCAATTTTTGTTTATACATAACCGACTGCTTTAAACCTTAAAATGGGAAATAGAAAACCTTGAAAAATGATGAACCTTACCATGTTCCTGGATTGGCAGAATTAATATTATCAAAATGACCATATTACCAAAAGCAATATACAGATTCAACACAATCCCAATCAAAATCCCAACAACATTCTTCTCAGAAACAGAAAAGATGATGCAAAACTTCATCTGGAATCACAAAAGCCCACGATTAGCCAAAGCTATCCTGAAAAACAGAAATCAAGCTGGAGAAACCACAATTCCAGAGCTTAAGACATAACTACAGAGCGGTGGTTATCAAAACAGTCAGGTACTGGTACAGAAACAAAGAAGATCAATGGAACAGAATAGAAACACCAGAAGGGAGCCCACACATGTATAGTGGAGCTGCTGGGATTAGAACTGGCACCCATATGGGATGGGATCCCGGGCGTTCAAGGCGAGGACTTTAGCCGCTAGGCCACGCTGCCGGGCCCAACATTTTTTTTTTTTAAAGATTTATTTATTTTTATTGGAAAGTCAGATTTACAGAGAAAGACATACAGAGAGAGAGAGAGAGAGAGAGATCTTCCATCCACTGGTTTACTCCCCTCGTGGCCACAACAACCAGAGCTGAGCCCATCCGAGGCCAGGAGCCTGGAGCGTCTTCTCGGTCTCCCACCTGGGTGCAGGGTCCCAAGACTTTGGGCTGTCCTCGACAGCTTTTCCAGGCCACAAGCAAGGAGCTGGATGGGAAGTGGAGCACTTGGGACACAAACCGGCACCCATATGGGATCCTGGCATATGCAAGGCGAGGATTTAGCCACTAAGTTACTGTGCCGGATCTGGCTGCAACAGTTTTAGGTCCTCTAGGCAGCAAGAGCCCCTCTCCGGTTGCTATGAACACTGCCCCCTTCCCCTCCCACCCATCCCATCTGTTCTAGCCAAGGTCTGCCACCTGTGTAACCAGTATGTGATACGGCAAGGCCAAGTTCAGACTCCCCGAGATTTTGTATGTCTTTCATTGAAAACGCACTGCCTCTGAGGAGGCTTCTGCTGTGAGCCATTTGTGTAGAAAAAGCCCCTGTGACAGACACGGGGGAGGGGGAAGCAGGAGAGGAAGGAGGGAGCAGAAACATGATGGGAAGGGGAAGAATGGGGAGGAGAAAGTGAAGCAAGCATGAGCTTGGGTTAAGTTCATGCTTTAGACTGGTCCTGAGGTCCATAAAGAACCAATGCCCTCCAGTCTGACTCCCCAAGGGAGAGCAGGAGACAGCTGGGTGTCCATACTCCCCTCCCGGCAGCTGCTGTGCAGGCCACCCCGGGGACACAAGTTCCACACCCCTGGCTGTGTACAGGTGTAGGCTAAGCAGCTGTTGGACCCCAAGGACACATGTCTGAAGGAGACCTCAGGAGCAGACTCTTAGAGTTGGGGCACCTGGGGAGAAGCTGGGCACATACAGCCCAGTTAGGCTGCTAGGGGGCCTGGGCATAAGCATAATGGCTGCTCCAAGTTGTGCTTCCAGCACTTTCCAGGGGCTCTTGTCAATAAGCAGACTCTGTCTTAGAAGTGAGACACGCAGTGGAGACTACTTCTCCAATAAGCCTGGGACCCGTCTGTGGGAAGCCCCACGGTTGACACTGACCCCACATGTCCATGTGTGTCCTGGTTGTCTCCTGTGGGTTCTCTCTTCTACCACGGTGTAGCAAACCCCAGGGTTGAAAACAGCTACTTCCTGTCTGCAGCCGCCTGGGCTCAGCTGAGTGGTCCTCACTGAGGACTTTCACGTGCTGCGACAGAACCCGCAGTCATTTGCACCAAATGTCACTCTCTCCTCCATCTCTCTCCTTCTCTTTCTTCCCCTCTTCCTAAGCCTTTATCGTTCTGCCTTTCAAATAAATTATCTTTTTTTGAAAAATTCATGGAAATGCATTATGAAAAAACAAGGCTGGATTCAAATTTCTTTGCATTAAAACAGACTTATCTTGTGATTCCATTTCCTACAAACTTCCAGAAGGTTCCTCATAGCCGCCAAGGTGGACAGCAGGGAGAGGTCATCCTGGGACCCTGATGAGGTCCCCACCCCGCCTCCCAGGGACTCCTGACTCACAGCAGGACCTCATCTAACCCCAATCACTGCTCCAGGACCTGCCCCACCTCCTGCACTCGGGGGAAGGGCTCCCAGTGAGTCCATGACAGGGAGCGGGGTGTCCTACACCTTCCCCAGCCAAGGTGTTCTCAGGTGTCAGCCACACCAAGCCTCAGGGGGCTGCAGAGACAGTGTATGGCAGGCACCTGGCTTCAGGCAGGACTCGGATGTAACTGAGGCTGGAGCAGGACTTGCAGTGGGATCACATCCCTGAACAGTGGAGTCAGGCTCCAAGACACCACTGGCTTGGTGAGGTGGGGCAGCCAGGTGACCTTGCAGATTCAGCACAGAGGAAAGTGGACTCCTGGGTGGGGACTCTGTTGGTGACCTCACCTCCATGCCATTGTGCCCAGGCAGCCTCTCAGAAGCGCTGAGGAGACACCAGGATGCTGGGCACAATCACGTGTGCAGAGCTGGGAGTGGAACAGTTGCAACCTCAATCAGCTGTCTTGGCGTCCCCAGCCCTCCTGAGTGACCCAGTGCTGGGGAGAACCAGAGCCGAGCCCAGCAGGTGCCTGCACAGGAAGGGGCCAGTGGGAGAGCCCGTGTCCTCCCTCGCTGGCTGCCTTTCTCCTGCTCCGTGCCTTTCCCTCCTAGCTGGGGTCCCTTTGTTAAATCCCCCTCACAGGAGGATCCTCCAGCCCTGGTTGGCTGTGCAGTGCAATCAGCTTCGCCTCCTCCCCTCCTGTCCAGAGTAGTCCCGGGGCCTTTCTCTACATAATTAAAAGATCCATTAAGGCGTTTTCCTAATACCAGAGCTGCTGTGTCCCTTGGAGGAATTCTGGGATCCTCTTAGGACAGCCATGGCCAAGTACAGTCAAGTGCTACGGTGGTGAGTGAGAGCTGTCAGTGTCACCTGTGTGTGACAGTGTGTGTGTGTATGTGTGAGTGTATGTGTGTGTGGTGTGTATACGGTATGTGTGTATGTATGGTGTGTTTGTGTGTGTATGGTGTATACGTATATGGTATGTGTATGTGT